ACCTCCACCACTGACAGCCACCATTATACTTCCAGTCTCTCTTGAATTTTTCCATTCTAGGTACTTCATGTAAATGGAATCATAACATTTTTCACCTTTTGTGACTGACTTGAACATCTTTTTAATAAATACACACTCGTATTTAGAAATCTTACATAGGCTAACCATGTACTTCTACACAGAATACCGTGATATGAAATTCTTGGTGCCACAAACATTGTAAGAACAGTAATAGCCGTCCATCTTGGCCCTTTCTGTGCAGTTACCCAGCAGCTTAGGTGTTTTTCTAATCTGCCATAAAAATAATGCGATCAAATATTTTAGCAATTATAAGGAAAATAGCAGGTCTGTTGCTTATAACTTATATTTGATAAGGTTCACAAAATAGTAGAACTGAAAGGGATATTGGAATCCACCCGAACCTTTATTGTACAAATGAGAAAACAGACAGGCAAAAGAACTTTCCCACAGTTTATCACAGCAGTAATAGAAATAAGTTTCCTTGCTTTTGCATACTTTCCTTATTAGTATACCCATGATATTCTTATGGTGTAATTAATTATGTCATTGAATTTCAGAGACCAACGTCTATAGAATAACATAAGTAAAAAGTTAATGTTTACTTACAACAACAAATGAGTAATAACAGAAAAATTATACCTTCCCTTAGCTTTTATATCAAGGATTGGATTGTTAGGGTTATGGAGATATAATGTTGTTTCATTAAAACAAAAGTGTGTTTAGTGGCTCTTGTGATGTACTAAAATTCTAATAGGGTTTTCTTGCCCTGCATCTCCACGCATAGTAAAACTGAAGCCAATACAGCTCGTTCTGTATTTTTTTTTAGTGTGCCAGTGAATTGATATATGGATAATCATTTCTTCTAGAATTAGTGGTACCATCCACTTAAGATTCAACGTCCGCAGAAAATAATTCCATGACAGTCATCTCTAAACTTGCATAATTGTGTACACCATCAGTTAGGGAAAAATTCCACACACTTCCATTGTGTTTATATCTAAAGTATATATACAGACTTCTGCACTGATAAATTATTACATTTAAAGCTTAAAAACTTAAAAATCTGACTGTAGAACTGAGGCAGCCAGAGGGGCTATAGGGAGACCACCAGTAGACAGCGATGGTGGACTCTGGGTGCTTTGGCGGATGTGGTGTTCTAACATAGCTGAAGGATGTGATCCTATACCTCTAAAAAAAACATTGTAAACGGATGTTACTTTGATTTTAAAAAAATGAACTCCTATAAAAAAAAAATAGGCAAAAGATATGAACAGGGAGTTTAAACAGGCACAAAGTTTACTCAAAATATACATTCTTTAAAAAGATAATCAAAAAAATTTTTTTTCTAGACCAAGTAGGTCATTTGTATACATGCATCTTGCCTTTGGAAATCAGAAGGTGTGCAGATATTAATGATAACGATAGTCTTTTTTTCCTAATTTAGTGGTACAATAACCTGTTGCTCCTTAGAGTTAGCATAGTAAATTAAAATAAGAGTCATAACAATCTAATGTATTAAATACTTTCATGGAGGTCTTTGGGAAACTACTTTAAGAAACTTACAATACTTTTTTAGAATGTGCAAATGAGACACAGTATTTACTAGGAAGGCACTTTATTTAAATGTGTTTGTAAGTTCTGTGTGTAAAGATAAAGATACCTGATCATTTATAGGGAATATAAAAATAGTGTGTGTGTGTTACAGAAAACAAAGACATTCATGGAAAAGAGCAATTACTTCAAGCCCGAGGGAGTCAGTATGAGCTTAAGGAGGAGTTTATTTTTATTTTATCTGTTTTTTTTTATTTAATACATTTCCCAGTTTGAGGCTTATATATTTAAAAGAGAAAAGCATGAAACATTTAGGAGACAGTGAAGTGGATTCATTTTTTTGAAGCAGATGGCTTTTGTGAAGGAAACTATTAGAAGGAGAACTAAACAGTAGGCTTGGTTATTTTGAGGTTATATTCTCATGCAAGCTTAGCAGAATTGTACTTTTTATGTTTAAAATGGGGAAATGCTGAGCAGAATTGTGATGTGATAAAAGTGGTAGATTACGAAGGTGAGTCTTTTGGCAATGTAAAACATAATATCTTGATGGAGACTGAAAATGAAGTTAGGGAAGCCAATTGGCAAAATATTTAGCAAATCTTAGTAAGAATTAACATTCTAGTACCAAGCACTGTCCTAAACATTCAAGTGTTTAAAAAGTAAATTCTATTATTCCTATTTTGCAGATGAACATACTGAAACCCCCCTCACCCAAAGGTGGAAACCCTGAAAGTCTCTGTCCTCTTAAATGCTGCTATAAGATGTATTCATCCTTATATAATTTGTATACATCCTTCTATAATTTGTATCCATCCAGTATTCTGGCTCTGAATATAAATAAGGAATATGTCTATGAGTGACTGAAAGGGAAATGAATAGAGCTTATTTGACTATGTGTGCATATATAAAGCAGGAGGAAGTGAAGCTGAGCTGAATGAATGCAGAAACTGTGTCATATAAGTCAAAATATAAAGAAATCAAAATCAATTGACCCATCAGTTTTCTTGCAGAAGTATACCCAGGATATATTCATAGAAAAAGGAAAAGAAGAGCAAATTTGTATTTTGTAAAGTCACAACAGTATTCATTACCATGTTTATGGAGAGAGGAGAAGGAGTTTTGAGACTTATCAACCTAAGTGTTACCTATATTTCTGAGTATTTCAGTGCCCAGTAAAGCTTTTTACAAAGTTCACTGGGTATTCCTAGGTTTTCTTCAGTAAATATGTATTGCTTTTGTAATCCTGATTTACTTGTTTCTAAAAGGAGAATGCTAGTTTGGTGAAAAAATTATTTTAGGCTAATTAGTAACAACTTATTCATTCATAGTCATTCATTCATTTCTGAACTATCTATTGTAGTGCCTGCAGTATTTTTAGTGCAACATTCCATACCTAAAACTGGCTAAATGTTTGAGAGAGAATAGTGAAAAGCTATTTTCTTCCAGGAGCATTCAGTCTACCGAGGAGTCTGCCATGTTACCACTTAACTTCGATGTAATATTATATATGAAACTTGTTCAAAGAGTTGCCAGCAGCTTGGGGGAAGAATCATCTAGATATGATTGTGCAAATCTGGGGAGATATTTAAGATATCATTTGAGTGCAGCCTTGATTTCAATAGAGGGAGCAGCAGCATGGGCAGTGTAGAATATCCAGATGCAAACACCTAGCTTTGGTCAGAATCAGGAAGGGAGAGTTCACCACAGGAATCATTTGTACCTTGAGGGTATGTGAGATCTCAAAACAGATTATTTTGAGGAAAACATTTTTAGACCATAGGAAAAGAAATGATATATCATAATATGGAAGCACAGGAGGGTGGAGGTGTGTGGATTGCCAGTAGTGTTCTGGGTGCTGAGAGATACGAGCACTTCTGATGTGTTTCTTTCTTATCTTTGTGTTCTATTTATAGCAAGTACAGTTTTATATCCTGCCTTTTCTTTTCACTCAGTGAATGAGTTATGCTTTATTTACCTTTTTATTTATTTATTTATTTTTTAACTTTTGGGCATTTGATTTTTCCTCATTACTCTAAAGAAACAAACCAACTTGTAAAGAATTCAGGAGTCTGATCCTCAGCCAGGGAGATGACCCACATAGCACAGCAGACCTCTTCTGTCTCACCCACTGCTCCCTTCCGCAGTATATCTCAGTCAGTCCACATGTTCTGCTCCCCTCTCTGTCTCTGGTGAATCCTCTCATCCTCCACACCTCTGGCCTATACCCCAGTTCTCATATGCATAAGTAAATAAATCTTAAAAAAAAAAGAATTCAGGGCCTTCCCTGATGGCGCAGTGAGTTAAAGCACAGGACTATGAAGCCATCAACAGAAGTTGGATCCCCAGATAGGGGAGTGACCCACATGGCATGGCAGACCTCTCCTGACCTGCCTGCTGCCCCCCTCAGCAGTATATTCCAGTCTTCTTCCTATCTATTGTGCTTCCTACTCTGTCTCTGGTGAATCCTCTCACCCCCTGCACCTCTGGTCTGTAGCCCAGTTCTGTAATGCATAAATAATATTTTTTTTAAAAGAAGAATTCAAGAGTAGAATTACTTATAAAAAAATGGATAGGGATGTAAATAAATGTAAGATACTCATAAAGTTAGCAGTGAGCTTATTAAATTGAAACAAAGATGTGCTCTTTGTGTTCTTGATCAAGTGAGTGATACAGAATGAATAGAAGGGGGAAGGAATGCAACTGAGAAACCAAAGCAGGGATATCAGTATCAATGTGAGTTTTTGTTGTTTTTCCTTTTCAATTGTAGTGAAAATGTATTTATGCTTATGTGGTTAGAAGGGACAAACTTTAAGTTTGTTTAAGCCTTGAAAAAAAGGCTGAGACTGAGGACAAGAAGACAGTGGGTTTTGTACAGACATTTTCAAGATGGGGGAACCTAGGACATAAGAGCAGATTTAATCACAAAATAGCAGTGGATGATGCATATGCTGAGAGTGAAAGTAAGATGGAGGTATGTAATGACCTTATGGAGAGTGAAAACAGATTTTTTTTAAACCCCTTTTGGAAGTGATGCAAGATACATAAACGCATTGCTGGGTAGAAGTGGAGACCTGGCTGGAGGCCTGTGGGTTGGAGAGCAGCACTCTCGAAGTCAGGGGTGGAGTGTGAACTCATTCCTGTCTCAGTGCTACTTAGTTTGTAAGCATTTGTATGAAAGACCACTTTCTACACAAGTAATAACTATATTTACAAATTTTTAGACTCTTAAAACTGGAAGATATATTTAAGTTCAATACTTGATTAATCAAAAAATGAAAAATAGAAATGGTAATGTTCATGTATAATTATGTCATCAAAATGGAGATTTAGCAATTATGTGCAGTGTTTCATAAGCCATAAAATATATAAATATATTCCCCCATACTTCCCTTTTTTTTTTTTTTTTTATAGCAGAATCTATAACTCACCTTCATTGATGAAAGTTACTGGTGGTATCTTGAAAGGGCTTTTGGTGGCAGAAGTTCCCAGATCAGGTGGCGGCATTAAATCTCTGGGGTAACTGGGATCCCTCTGTATCTCATTACCTCCCAGCAGACCAGGGCTGTACTGATGGCTGCTGGGGACATGTTGTGGCACTACCTGAACAAGGGGCGGAGACACATGGGGGTCTTGCCGGGAGAATATCCTCAAGCACTGTTCTTCTAACACGGTGATCATCACAGACTGGTTATTGACAAGCTCTGTCAAAGAAGCATATTTCACCTCTAGTTCTCTATACTTCGTTGCCATCTTCAGCATTTCTGTGGTGACATTAAGGATTTTATTTTCCAACTGGGAAAGTTCAAGTGAATTATCCCTCTTACGGATAATCTCATGTAATAGCTGCATGTAGAGTTGAGTGACACGAGAGTTCATGTTACGGCTTTCTTTTCTCAGCAGCTTCACCTCGTTCACGATGTTCCCGTCTACATCCACCACTAGTTGCAGGACATCTATCTCCCGCTTTTGCCTGGAGAGCACATCCTTCAGGTTTTCAAGGTCCATCCTAGTGATCATGTCTTTAATGGCACCTGCATCCTGCCCTTTAGTGTTGACACAAATTGGCCCTGTTATTTTTTGTTCAGGTACCAGGAATGTATAAGAACATTTCTTTGTTTCCTCTTTACCATCTATGCCACGAGGATATCTTCTCTGGGCTATTTTTTTAATTTTGATCTGGCCGCCTTGACAATATTCAGTGCCCATGAGTAGGAAGAACAGCACGGTTAGGGTCCAGATAAAGGCCTTCATTTTGAAGTGAGGTTGAATGATGTCTTTTAAAAAATGGACCGATGAAGGGAAAAAGTAAGAAGAATACACATTACAAAGTCAGTAATAACGAATAATATCTAAGGGAAAAGCTGAATACTTACTTGATTAATAAATTGGATCAGAATTAACATTGTTAATTTCCTCAATTCAGTGTTACAGAACCTCACTTTCTTTAAAATTAGATTTCAGAGTATAGTGCTCCCAAATTCCACCTTGCAGTAACGTTTTTTGCTACCAATGTTACTAAGCAAATTTTGGTGAGTCTTCACTACATGCAAAGGTATACAGTTAGTTGCTTCTGAGGCTTTGGAGAACTTGCTAAACTTTTCTTTCTTTTAAAAAGCTTGCTTACTGGGCCTTCCCTGGTGGCTCAACGGGTTAGGACACAGCACTGCAAGCTGGCCGCAGCTGCTTCAGTGCAGGTTTTATCCCCAGCTCCAGAGGTGATCCACATGGCGTGGCAGACTTCTCCTGGCCCGCCCGCTGCTCCCCTCAGCAGTGTACTTCGTCGATCTGCCTGTTCTGCTCCCCACTCTGTCTCTGGTGAAGCCTCACCATCCCTGCACCTCTGGCTTGTACCCCAGTTTTGTATGAATGAATAAACTCTTTTTTAAAAAAAAGTTTGCTTACCATTTTAAGACTCTGAAAATCGTACCCGATGGTAGACAAATGTAAAACCAGAAAGTTTTAGCATGTTTTTTTGGTCTTGTAGTATGCTGTAGGGGTTGGTGACAAATTATCTTGGGTAATTGGGTTTGGTAACCCATGATCCTGTATAAGGTCTGAACTCACATGCAATTCAGCAGGCTCATTCTTTCACCAGATTTTCTACTGAACTGTATTTTAGTAAAATGTTAATAATTTTCTATAACATTAACAAGGAAAGAAACTCTGTAGCTGACTGAGAGTGTTAAGAGTTGGAAAGTATCTTAGAGACCATCTCATTCAGGAACCTCTTTGCACCCCATGAGTGCCTTGAGGACCAAGGCCACACATGTAGGTAATAGTAGAGCCAGGTTTGAAGTTCAGGTTTCTTGGCTCTGCGGTGTTTGCAGCAGTGACACAGGCTAAAATGTGTACAGAAAAGTGTTTAGTTTTTGCTGTGACAGATGAAAAATAGTTGTTCTATTTGTAAAATATCTATAAAAACAACCACAAGAAACAGTTCAAAAAGGCAAACCATCTTACTTTCTCTTTAGTTAGCCCCCAAAAAGGTAGTAGGTGGGTAAGACAGAGAACCACTCATTCCATCAAGTTCATCAGCAAGCCCACTTTCCCATTCTTCTAAACTTGATTCCTCTTGAGGTGTTATTCTTGAATGACAGCAAGACACTAACACAGAACTTTGCTGTCCTGTTTTCTCCCCAAGTACTTATTTTTGATTGGAGAAACCAAGCTCCAAGATAATTATGCTTGCTATTAATAATTGCAGTACAATAACAATAGGTCATACTTATTGGGTACTTCTTAAGTACCAGGCACTGTTTAAAGTCTTTTATGTGCATTAACCCATTTTCTTCTCACACAACCCTCTGAGGGCAGATTATTGCTAGCACCATTTTCAGAGGAAGAAACTGGCTTCCAAAAGTTCCGTGTATGTAGTGCTATACCATTTTGCAAAGGAATAAAATCCTAGAAAAGTTAAAACATTCAAATGGCATTCAAGTCTGCTTGTAACTTTTCTAGACCTATGATTTTTTATCCTAAAGATGTCAGAACTACAGAGGAGTCCTGACTTTGTCTTTCATAGGCTTTTCCTGGTTCGTGACCCTTTGCATTGGACCATTTACTTAATTATGTAAAAGTATTTGTGGATCATTTTTGTTAGGATCTATTTCAATCATTTTTACAATCCAAACATTTCTGCTGAATTTCCTTGCCCGTCACATGATAGTTATTTGTCAAAGTTGTGAGTCTGAACCCTCCCCAAAATAAAGAACTCTGGACTCTCATTACTGCTTTTTAACACTATCTCCTCTTGATTATTTTTTAATGTATGGCATTTAGATATGGTTTACTTTAAAAACCAAAGGCAATAAAATAGCCACCAACCACCTCATAAATGTACAGCACTTCTAATTAACTAGTTCTAAGATCCACTAATTTCACTTGAGTGGTAGAATAGAATATTTATTGTGAAAAAAGCTACCACTACAAGGAAAATAAAGTGTCGTGAAACTTTCAAAACACAGAATTCTGTGAACAGTACTCTGATTGAACAGCATGTATTCCCACCAAACAGCTTTTTAAAACAACTAATAGCATGTAATCCAAGACTTATTCTGACTTTGCATCAGTATTGTCATAGAACAGCAAAAATGTCAAAATACTGATCTAAATTAGTAATAGTTTTCTTTTAGTGTGTGCTTTATGGGTTCCTGTATAATTAAATAATAAGATTAAATCACTGTCTGCCATTAGAGAATTTAGTATTTCAAGGACATAACTTTTATTTTTAAATAAATACATTTTTCTTCTTAACGAAAGCTGACTTCACTATCACCTAAAGGAGCCACATTTCTTAAGTAGTAGACTGGATACGTCATGAGTAAAGAACTGGTTTTAAAAATACACTCACTGTTACATTTTCTGAAAACATTCTCTTATTTAATATTTTCCCACATATGTTCAGTTTTAAAAGTGAAAGATCCATAAATCTGTGTTACCTCATAAAATCTTTCTGTATATATTAAGACTTTCCTAGGTCTCAAGAGAATGTTATAAATTAGTTACAGCATACTAAAGTTTAAATCTGTGTCTTTGATTGGTTGGTTTTAGAAGGAAAAAAAAATCTTCCATACTTTGGGTTAATTTTATTGGTATTATTTCTCTTCAGAGTTGCTACATTGCCAGCTAGGAGAAAGACGAAATAAAGGTCATGATTTACTTCCTTTTAGGTAGTAAACACATAGGGGCAATGAACCTAAATTTATGAAGCACTGACGATTACCTTAGGTACAGAATTGCTAGTTTGTGAATTCCTTCTGGGAAGAGACTTGAGAATAATTTCATCTCCTGAAGATATTTAAGAAATGAATAGTCTGTGTGATTTAAGTTTCAGATTGAATGCTTGCTACTTTATTGAAAACTGAGGCGTAATGAGGATCTGAATTTATCACAGTAAACACAGCAGAAATGACAGTAGATCAAATCCAGTGTTACTTAGTTGTTTTATTAAAATTTTTTATAAAAGTTGGGTTCAATAGAGAGGCCAGACTGAGAATTTTGAATGTTTAAATCTTAGCTTTACTATAACTTGCATATTGAAGACTTTTACCATTGATGTCTTTAATTTTTAAAAGGACAGAGGATCTCTAAATCTTAACAAATTTAAATGTCTTTGATGTTAAAGCTTATTTTTGGTAACTAGTAATTTTTACTACTTCAATCGTAATAAAATAAAGCCCTCAGAATAAAGAAACCACTTGTGTATAATTACTCCAATTATTTCTACCTAAATTATTATAAATTTTGATCTTCCAATCTTGTATTTAATTGTCTTTTCTGGATTCTTAATTTTTATTGTTTAAACTGTCTACTTATTTAATATTTCTGTTACATTTTACTTTTCTTCCACAATACTTAATCTTAAGATTTTGTTTTTTGTTTTTTGTTTTTTTTCATATATCAGTAACTTTGCTTTTCCAAGTAATTCCAGCTATAGCAGTTTTAATTTCTATCACCCAAAAAGTTTTTCAGATTTACATGTAAACTTAAATATTTAAAAGTTGAGTTGCAAGAAAAAATACTATAGATTTTATCTTAAGTCTGTTCATTACTATAATTGAGGTGTTGCTGAAAAGCCTTTTAGTTATTATTATTTTTTAAATCTTCTTACCCTGCTTTGTAGCTGTGCTGTAAGGTATATAACAATATGTGTAACTCTTCAGCACACATACTGTAGCTACAAGAAGAGAAATTTAGCCTGTTTGCCATTTTCTTTAGTTTCTGGTTTAACCACTGTACTCTAAACCTTATATTTAATCTATTACATAATAATAATTTCACTAAAGGACCTGTTTTCTGAAACCCACTATTACACATCAGTCTGTAAACATACAAACTAAATATCATTACATTGGACCTCATGTAATTCTAAGATTGAAAGTATGTAGGTAACAGCCTTCATAAAAAGATACAAAACAAAACCTCTTTCAGATGAAATTTAGTATTAAGAGCTTTTGAAATTGCTACAAATGTAAAATAATTATACATTTCAACATATGTAGAAGTTGTAAATAAAGATAAAAGAAATATTAAAATACCTTTTTTCATCTGTTGATGAAGGAAACCCAGAAACTTGTTGCTGTTATTCTTGCTTTCAAAGATCAGTGTAGACATTTGTTCATCTGTGACTTGAATGGCAGTTGCATTTTTGTCTTGGACGGTTGAATCCAAGCTGTGTTAAGGAAGTTCTTTTTCTTCTTACAGTACTAATCAATTGAATTTGACAAGCCACCTATGTAATTTTAAGTAGCAGAGTCGTCGGTCTACTCTGTGGGTTGTCTTTAATCCAGCAGAGAAAGCATTGTGGCTTTGCTCTGTCAGCCACATGGAGACGCTGGGTAACCAGCTGCAGCTGGCCAGATTGTATACACAGGACCCTAAATAGTGATTCCCTCTCTCAGTATATTCAAGTTCAGCCCACATATTACGTCACCGAAAAATTTGCTGGAGCCTGGGGTGGGGGGGGTGGAAATCGCCTCCTTAGGATTTCCTCTCTGTGGCATGAAATAGGGGCGGGGGTGGTGGGAGCAGCAGGAGGCTGCCTAGCTGGAAACAAGGAGAGACTGTGTGCAGGTTGCAGGAAGGGCACCATCTGGAAACACACTATCATAGTTCAGCAAGCAATTACAAAGCAAACATTGGCTCCGCTGACCAGATCTTTTAAGTTAAAGACTGAAGGATTACTACTTATTTGCACTTAGAAGGAGTTGCAGGCTGATAAGTTTGATTTTTGTCAGAAAGAATAGGAGCTAATGTCAGGAAGCAACACCTAAACAATATAATACCCTTTAAGAATTTTTAAGCACTTTTACTAAGTTGCCCTTTCAGGAGGCTTTAGTGTTGTGATATACTAGATCTTATTGTGTAGCCTCTTAAAATTGTATTTAAAAAAAAAGTGGAAATCTGTGTATGGAATTCTTTCAGAGGTTGAATACCTTTTAAACTTCACTGGTGTTAACATAACACTTCCTATAGCATGACCACTTTTGTTTGAAAAAGGTCAGTCTTGTTAGTTAATGTGTGTAATTTTTTAATGAGAATATAGTTTTTTAATTTAGGCATATGTATTGATTAGAATGCATAAAGTGAACTGGTAACTATTTTGGAACTTTCTTAAACTGAAGTAACATTGATTCACAGTGTTTAGGGGAACAGGTTCACACTCTACAAATGTCAAACCATCCCCCCATCAAGTGCACCACGCAGTCCACTGTAGAACACAGGGCTCTTCCCCTCTGTTTCTCACCTCACCTCCCCTCCCCTTCCCCACCAACCTAGGACTTGTTTTGGTTTAGTTTTATCTGTTCCTTTATTTCTTAGTATTCTATATGTGAGTTAAATCTCAGGTATGTGCCTTTCTCCTTCTGATTTATGTCCTTTATTATAATCCCATCCAGTTCCATCCATGTTGCAAATGGCAAGAGTGAATGTCTTTCTCTCTGGTTTTTTTTTTTTTTAATTGCTGAGAGCATTCTACTCTGTATATATACCAAATCTCCTTAATCCACTCACCTGTTACTGGACATTGAGGTTGTTTCTGTAAAAAGTGTTGTAGCAACATAGGAACACACACATTTCTTCAAATTAGTGTGTTTGCATTCTTTTAATAAATACCAAGGCATGGAAATGTTGGATCACATGGTAGAGCTGTTTTTAGTATTTTGAAGAAGTTCCATAGGAACTTAACTAGTTTACATCCCACCAAAATTGTGCAAGGTTCCTTTTTCTCTATACCTTCACCAGCATTTGTTGTTTCTAGCTTTTTGATACGGGCCATTCTTATGAGTGTGAGTTGGTATCTTACTGTGGTTTTGATTTTGCATTTCCCTGATGGTGAGTGGTGTTCGACATTTTTTCTTAATTAAGCCTGTTGCCCATCTATATGTCTTCTTTGGAGAAGTGCCTATTTATCTTTTCTGACCATTTTTTTAATTGGGTTATTTGTTTGTGTTGCATTTTGTGAGTTCTGTGTAGATTTTGGATATTAGCTCCCTGTCAGATACTTGATGTACAAATATTTTCTCCTGTTTGGTAGGATATCTTCGCTATAATGATAGTTTCTTTCATTATGCAGAGCTTTTTAGTTTGATGTCCCATTTGTTTATTTTGTTTTTGTTTACCTTGCTAAGTTGAGTTCCCCAAGGTCATCTCTGAGGTCTGTGCCATAGAGCGATTTTTCCTATGTTTTCTTCTATGTATTTTATGTGTTCAGGTCTTACATCTAAATCTTTAATCTATTTTCCTTACTTCTAGATCTTTAATAACCTACTTTGACTTAATCTTGGTATTGGGGGTGGGGAGTTTTTTGGTTTTCTGCATGTAGCTGTCCACTTTTCCCAGAACCATTTTTTGAAGAGACTTTCCTTTTTTCATTGTATATTCTTGGTTTCTTTGTCATAGATTAACTGTCCATATAAATGCAGGTTATTTCTGAGCTTTCAATTCTATTTCATGACATATTGTCATTTAAAAGCAAACATAATCATGGCCCTCCCTGGTGGCACAGTGGGTTAAGCACAGCACTAAGAAACTAAAGCCACTACTTCATGAGTTCAAATCCCGCCTGCCCCGGAGGAGATCCACATGGTGTGGCAGACCTCTCCTGACCCGCCCACTGCTCCCCTCAGCAGTGTACTTCGTCGATCTGCCTGTTCTGCTCCCCGCTCTGTCTCTGGTGAATCCTCTCACCCTCCACATCTCTGGTCTGTACCCCAGTTCCATATGAATAAATAAATCTTTAATAAAAAAAAAAAAAAAAGCAAACGTAATCCTGAACAGAATAGGGGGAAAGTACCTACTCCCACTAGCTCTGAGAGGTTAAGTCAGTTATTTTAACTACCTCTCCTCCTGTTCATTTGTGAAATTAGGGTGCTAAAAAAGAAATTAGTAACTATTGATTACCAACTATGCTGTTTAATAAATCAAGAAATGTTGATTAATTAAATGCTGAGGAAACAAAAATTTAGTCATCTTAAGTACTTAATTCACCTTAGCTCATCAATAATAAAGAATGAATAGAATTTAAATCTAACTCAAACATGTCACATTCTCTTTTATTGGATTATGTAGTTACAAATTATACTGCTGATAATTATTGCTTCTATATAAAGTTTTTGGGGATCCTACTTTCACACTATCCTCTCTTCAGTAGGGTAGATTTAGGTCTGTGCTTTGGCTCTGGGAAAGAACACAATAGAGGGTGAGTGGCGGTAGACACAATTGTGGGTATTTTGAACAAAGAAGTAGCAATTACATTCAGATTAGGTTTGGAAAAAAGAAAGGGATTCTTCTTCCTCTGCAAGTAAAGGAAATGGAATAAAGCTAAGACTATAGATAGGTTCATTTGGAGTTGGAATCATAAAAAGTTGAGAATTTCTGAAGAAAATAAGTACTCATAATAGGAATCTATAAAGGCTTAAGAAATAATGCAAAGGCTTCCTGAATGGGAAAGGAATAATACTAAGATAAATAGATGGATCATAATGCCAGTTTTTACATGGTAGTAAGCACCTATTGTCAAAGCTACACAGGATCTTCATTAGAGCACACAATGGAACAACTTTTTAAATTAATTTATGTTCTTGAACAGATAAAATATGAGAATATGTAAACCGCTCAAGAATAGTACAAAGTCATAAAATTTAACAAATGAACAGCATGTCTGAATTTATAACAGGGTAATAAAAAAACTGAGGTACAAGTAAAACCTGAGGTCCAGCTCTCCAGTGTGAGAGCTTAATGTGCTTACTGTCTTACTTAATGTATCCATTAAAATCAGTGGGCCTCAGATTTTTCATCTATAAAAGGGTTGGAATCACTGGAAACTTGACATTGAACTAGCTATAAGATGTATTCGGGTGGTCAAAAATGAGTCTACAGCATTCAGAAGGGAAGAAATAGCATGAAAAAATACAGGACTTATTTTGAAAGCAGTTGGTACATTATTTTAACTGAGATTTCATGGACAATGATGTAATGAGCAAAAATAGGAAAGTATATTTTTCTCTCCAATTATAGTTGTATACACTTTACATGCACATAGTAAATTCAGGAACTATCTTAAAGGACCTTGCACAACAAAATTATTTTGGCAGTGGGTGTGGGTATATATTCTTTTTTGTTGGTATAGAGGAATGAGGGGGACGGGTTAAGTTCAATTTGCAGCTACTTAAACTAGTTCAGAAATTTGGTTGTCAATCTTTAAATCAAAATATTTCTACCAAATACAGTTTTCAAAGCCTTTAAGACTTAGGTGATAGTAAGTTCCTAAACTGTATTTCAGAATTTAAGCTATCTTCTACCTTATACACACCTACCTATCAATAGTTAGAGGCAGAGCCAGCTCAGTAACTCAGCCTCTTCTGTTAGGTCTCAGGAGTGCTAGAGTTTCTAACTCGAGTCTCAAACTGTACTTTGAAAAGGTATCACAAAAAGATATTTACCCAAAAAAAAATTACGTGTCTGATCCCACCTCTATGACATCTAAGCTTCATGTTCTAGCAAGGATACAGTGTAATAACAGTATATTCTAAATATGGCATATAGTGAAATACTGGACTAAAACTATAAACTCATTCTGCTTCCCCTTTTGTCATATTCTTTAAGTTACAAGCAGGAAAGCACTCATTTATCTCCCTTTATTTCAGGTATCTATTTGTCAGATTTAACGTACATTGATTCAGCATACCCATCAACTGGCAGCATTCTAGAAAATGAGCAAAGATCAAATTTAATGAATAATATCCTTCGAATAATTTCTGATTTACAGCAGTCCTGTGAATATGGTGAGTACTGCACAGCCGTTCCCACACTGTGATTCTGTTGCTGTTGGTGACCACTTGCACATACAGGGAACATCAGTGTCTTCTATCCATTCTAGCATTAGTATTTATTATTATTTATTAGTGTAAAATAGTAGCTTTATTTCCTGTTCAGTATCTAACATCCTTTTTCAGAGCCTGATTTTAAGGAATTAGAGGTTTAACATTTAAATTTTTAAGCTTCATATTTTGCTCTTGTGCTGTTTTGTAGTAACTGTATTAACACAATTTACAAAATTGTTTTCTAGTATCTTCATCTCACTTGATTGCCCTGATCTATTAGATAAATATTTCTTAAATTTTTCAGTTAGACAGAAGCTGAGACCCTTGATTATAATAACAGTTGACTAACTTTTTTGAGTCCATCATAGAGAAAATAAGCAATTTTGTCCAATATCTTATGGAAGCATAGCAGAAAGAGCTTTTAGTAAGTTTGTAGGATTAGAACATGGATTGTTTTAATGTTTTAAAATGTTTGAATGCTTTCAGCTTGATGGGGAATAAAAATACGCTATTGCTGTATCTTTTTTTATGATAGTAAAAAAATGAATTTATATTATTCAATAAATTTAAAATAAATTTGCCCTAAAACCAGTTTTACTTATGTAGTCTTCATGCTACTATTCATTTGTTTTTTATCTTTTTTTAACGTAACACAAAATAGTAACATTAATCTTAATAGAAATTTTTAAGTAAGGGAAGAAAAACCATGTTTATCAATGTGAACCAGTCTAATTTTAAAAAAAGAAACAAAACTACCTTTACATGTTGCAATTAGATGTGGTTTCAGTATGAATCACAATGAAATCTCTGGGTTTTGTGGTTTTCTTTTTTAAAGAAAATTCTTGGCTGTGTAGTACTTTATTAATAGCTTTATTTTCTTTTAAATCTATGCACACAGCCTGCAATTGTTATTTTCTAAGTGTCTTTTTTTTTTTTTTTTTAAGTTTTACATTAAGCAAATTTCCTTCTAGAATCAATTTAAATTTTGGTGCCATGTGGCCTTAGTTACCTCCAAATATATTTTCGTTAGTTTAACTTCTAAAATTCTGGTTAATCATTATCAGATAATTAATGAATTATCATGTTTTGCCTAGATATACCTATGTTGCCTCATGTCCAAAAATATCTGAACTCTGTTCAGTATATAGAAGAACTACAAAAGTTTGTTGAAGATGATAATTACAAGTAGGTTGGATCTTCAAAAGTGGTTTGTATAATAACTTTGTCCTGTCCTCCATCCTTTTATCCCTTGTCTTTAAATATGTAAATCCTCCATTTTATCACACAAGGGCCTAACCCAGCAGTACACTTACAATGATAAAGGGATTAAGGTGTTTCTTTATTGTCACTTGATATGACTGAGGGAGCTACCTGTTCTTTTATTAAAAAGTATTTCAGGCCCTCCCTGGTGGCACAGCGGGTGAAAGCACAGCACAGCACAAGGGAGCTTAAGCCACTTCCGCATGCGATCCCCCCTGCCCTGGAGGAGATCCACATGGCGTGGCAGAACTCTCCTGGCCCGCCAGCTGCTCCCCTCAGCAGTGTACTTCGTCGATCTGCCTGTTCTGTACCCCGCTCTGTCTCTGGTGAATCCTCTCACCCTCCGCATCTCTGGCCTGTACCCCTATTCTGTACGAATAAATAAATCTTTAAAAAAAAAAAAAGTATTTCATCTGCACCTCCCTGATGGCCTAGGGATTAAGTTTCTTCGCTAGCTATACTGGCTCAGAGAGCTGACCCACATGGCACAGCAGACCTCTCCTGTCTCCCAGCTGCTCCCTTCAGCAGTGTATTTTGTCCATCTGCCTGTTCTGCTCCCCACACTGTCTCTGGTGAATCCTCTCAAACTGCCGCACCTCTGCCTATACCCCAGTTCTTCTACTCAAAAAAATTTTTTAAATATTTCATCTTTCTAAAACTGTTAAAAGACCTGATATTTGATATTCTAAACTTCATGCTTTATATTCAAGCATTGGGTCTTTATGGAAATTTATTTTTTGATACAGTGAAAAATTAATGAAAGTCTACAAATAAAATACTACTTTTATGGTAATTTTTTTTTGGTTTGTTTTCAATTAAGGGAATGTTAAGGGAATGTTCAACCTCATGTCTTTGGCAAAAGACATATTGTATTTGTCCAGTAAGCAACATACTTACTCTTTACTTTGTCAAAGAAAGGTCTTTATTAAAATATTTAAAAATTACTTTCAAAATAGCTGCCCATTTTTGTCCACTTAATTCCTAAGTACAATTATGTTGTAAATTACAATTACAATTTCAGGAAGCTGTCATCTGAGGCTAAAACTTTGTAGCTGTGGGGGAATTAATACCACATGAAGGATAGGGGAAGGGGTCTTTGAGGCAGTGGTCAAAGAAACAGTGAGAAACAGTTCTCTTCCCTTGAGGAAGTACAAGTAATCTGGTGTAGAGGTTTCATATGAGGCTCTGGAGAGGATAATTTTTCTAAAGATGCAATCATTTTACCTAGCCAGCAAATTAAATGTGGTAAAATCAGTGTATTTTAAGATAAGAGCCATTAAAATTATTAGGTAGAAAGTAGTTTTTATGAAAAAATATTTATATAAAAGTGACATTTATGGGGCCCTCCCTGGTGGCGCAACAGGTTAGGACGCAGCATTGCAAGTGGGCTGCTGCCGCTTCAGTACAAGTTTGATCCCCGGCCACGGAGGTGACCCACATGGCGCAGCAGACCCACTCCTGACCCGCTGCTCCCCTCAGCATTGTACTTTGTCAGTCTGCCTGTTCTGCTCCCCACTGTCTCTGGTAAATCCTCTCACTGCCCTTGCACCTCTGGGCTGTACCCCAGTTCTGTATGCACATGTAAATAAATCTTTTTTTTTTAAAGTGACATTTATTCAGAGACCTCATCTACATAGGCAGTTGGTACCAATATTACAAAATACATGCATGTATTTTAATCAAGGTCAAAACTTTCTCTACCAGCAAGGGCCTTTCTTGATTACTTCATTGTAATACTGAGCATAGTACCTTTTCTTGCTGAGTCTTCTTCACTTAGTATATGGTGCTTTGATGTTGATACAGGAGCTTGATGCTCTGACAACCTTTCACTACTGGAATTGAGATGTTTCTGCTTTTCACACTGCTGTCAGTTACCAGCTGCTACTTATAGTAATGGGATTCACCCATAGTTTCCTTTCTGTTCCCTTCTTTTTGGAGTCTGCTTTAGGGAATAGTATTATGTTTATTCCTTTTACCTTCCACCTGTTAGATTGTGAGTTTCAGAAGGGCAGGAAATCAGATCTGCCTCAGTCTGTTAAGATTACAATGCTGACCCCACATGCCCAACACAAAGCCTATTTATCAAATGAAGTAGTTCATGTAGTCTGTAACCATAGTTAATAAATTGTCAATGGAAAATGGGTAGAGGTCTGATTAATCATATATCAATTCAGCATATGTATTTTATACTGTCAAATCATTAGAACATAATTCCTCTTATTATCAAAGAAATAAAAGAACCTACAGTAGATTTATCACCAAGTATATCAGTTGTGTAGTTTTATATAAAATTATATATAGTATGGTATATGCTATCCATATAATATGGTAGGATGCTGTAAAAAGTCATAATTGATTTTCAGACAAAGGCTTCATGATGATAGGCTTTCAGGACTGTACCAAAGTTTCCTATTTCCTAAAATAGTTTCCACTGATAGGAATCATAATCTCTCTCTCTCTCTTTTTTTTTTTTTTAAAGATTTATTTATTTGTACATACAGAACTGGGGTACAGGCCAGAGTCTCAGGGGCGGTGAGAGGCCTCACCAGAGACAGAGTGGGGAGCAGAACTGGCAGATCGACGAAGTACACTGCTGAGGGGAACAGCAGGCAGGTCAGGAGAGGTCTGCCACACCACGTGGTTACCTCCAGAGCAAGCGGGAATTGAACTCATGTAGAAGTGGCTTTTAGCTCCTTAGTGCTGTGCTTCTTAACCTGCTGTGCCACCAGGGAGGGCCAGAATCATAATCTCTTTTGCTGTGGAACTCAAAACTGGATATAGCATCTTCAAAGAAACGATTAGGTAGAAAGTATTTTTATAATGTGCCAACTGATAAACTTACTAGAACTGGGATTTACCAGGAATTTTGCAAACAGCCTTTTTATTTATACAAACTTTCTTTTGATGAGTTGATTGAATTTTTAGATGGCTAGTTTTAACTAAGATAGTTTTTAAATTTTCAGTGCTACAGAAGACATTAGTGCACTCATTTAAAATTCTAGAAAAAAATTGCATATTTTTAATAATGTGAAATTTCCTGAATTTGTGTAAGGTGTCACTATAACCTTGAGTTAGATCACCAGTTAGTCATCAAGTATCTTTAGAGGTGTTAAATGTGTTTAGAAATGTTTGAGTAATTTTGTTCATGGGGTAGGTTATATTTTTAAATGACTTAATGTTTTTTCTTCTCCCTGATATTTTCAGGAATAAACTATAAAGTCAGCTTTGTATGAAAGAAATAGTCTATTAACTGTTAAAAATTGCTCTTAAAATCATGCTGATATTATAAAAATTAAGTTTTTTGAGAGAAAGTATGCTTTTCATATTTTAAATGTTAAATATTAATATAAATAATATTTTTAAATGTTTAATAACATTTTGTCAAATGTTGACTACTTTTTGCTTTTGCTTCTTTTTAAAATTCAGACTTTCGTTAAAGATAGAACCAGGCACAAGCACACCACGTTCTGCTGCTTCCAGGGAAGATTTAGTAGGTTAGTGCATAGTTTTCATGATAAGTCAGATAACAGACTAAGAAAGCCTATACTCCAAAGTAAATAAATAACTTAGCATATTTTATACTGTATTCAAAAATTTATTTTTGGTATTAAATATTTAATTTGGTATTAGATCTATTTTTTTTTAATTAAATAGTTTTACTAACGGTGTTGGTAATGTAATAGCCAACTAGTCAATGAAAATAGCAACAACAAATAGAAAATATGAAATATATGAATATCTGTTGTTTTTAATCAAAGATACATCATCCTGCACAATGAGGATTGATAATATTAAAAGATTCTGTGATACGAGAGGAAAAGTCTACTGATTTTTATAATTATAGAAGTCATTTTTACTGATTTGACTTTTTTTTTGTTTACTCTGCACCAAGTACTTAAAATATTAAAAAATAGTCCCTTAATTTACATGTTGCAACCTATGAGAATTAAGTATGCCATACATCATCAGAAGTATTACATTTAAGAGATTTATTTATTTATTGTTTAAGAAATCACTGATAAATATCTTTTTAAAATTTCAAATGCTGCCCATGGCACCAAACTTCATATTACTATATATTATAAAATATTTGAAGGCCCATCTAATGAGGTATAAAAGAAATAAGGAAACAAGCCTTGGCATTACATAGAAAGAAAAACATTCCAAGCGGTGGAAAACATTTCAAGCTAAATATTTTAAATGCTCTCCTTTATTCTTAAAGTGATAGCTTACAAATTTACTCTGGAGTTTTTTCTTATTCCTAAGTCTAAACAGTGTCAATATAGTGCTATATTCTAACCCAAATGCTTGATCTCCCTTCCTTATCTAAGAGGAAGCTACAGTTAAAGGGTCAATGTGTAAAATTAAAAGAGTGCCACACTAGGATTCAGAAGACCTGGGTGTTCAGGTTTCTTCTGTTGTATGAGACACTGAGTTTATCTCCTCTAGTTCTGCTTCATTCTCTGTAAATGAGGAAATTATTTATACTGCCTCTTTAGTACGAGTATGACAGAAATAAATGAATTTTATGTTTGGGGACTTTGTGTCTTAAGTCTTATAAATATTTTTCTTGTTAAGTGAATTAAACAGAACTAAGCTAATAGCTTAAAAACCACATTTTATGTCAAATTAAAAATAAAATAATTTTTGAGCTATTTGAATCAATATCTTTTGTCTCCTTTTCCCTTCCTTCTACTTTCTCTCCCTCCTCTCAGGCCCTGAAGTTGGAGCATCTCCACAGAGTGCAAGAAAAAGTGTGGCAGCTGAAGGAACCTTGCTACCACAAACACCGCCGTCCCCTCGAAACCTTATTCCACACGGACATAGGAAGTGCCACAGCTTGGGCTATAAGTCAGCATTTTGAATTTTTAAGTTTTTTAAGTCTTTCAGATTTTTAAGTTTTTTCTAAATGAATTTGCTTTCCATTTGTGTGATTAGCTAAATAGAAAATATTGTCCTTGCATGGCTTGATTTATATGATCATAGGCTTCTTCTGAATCAGTATAAATGTTTGCCTAAAAGTATTTATTTCTTCCTTTACAATGTTACCATAAATGAAATCAAGGAAGCACTATACCTTTTTCCTCTTAATTTTTATCTTTAGTGTCAAGACAATCATTGTTCATCTTAACCACCCTGAGGACTATAAAATTTTTATTCTAAATGCAAAGGAAAGGGAACTGGTTTTTTTGTTTAACTTCATTAACTGTGCAAGATGGTTTTCTCAAAATGAAACCCATAGTTCATCTGATTTTTGTGAAAATTTAATACTTAGTTTCCAAAAATTAATGTGAATAAAGCTAGTAGATCTGAGACTCAAGATGAAATTTAGATATTCTCCATTTTCTAGATAGATATGACTAGTCTCCAAAAAATTTTTCCTAAACCTGTTTGAAATTTTCATGGTAAATCTGTGTGTTCACCTGTATGAGAGTTTAGGAGTTGTTCAGGATAGCAAATGTTTTATAACAGTAATAAAAGTTATAAAAATACTTCTCTTTCTTTACAGTTTCATTCATAAAATGAATACAGCAGAGTTTAAGAGTGCAACATTCCCAAACGCAGGGCCACGACACCTGCTAGATGACAGCGTGATGGAGCCCCATGCTCCATCGCGGGGCCATGCGGAGAGTTCTACTCTGTCTAGTGGAATATCAATAGGTGAGGAATGATTCTCTTTGAGGCTTACAGCTTACATAAAAATGAAACTTTTAGCATAACTCAAGTGGGAAAAGGCATTAACCCCTACTACAACAAAAACATTTGACAAAAGCAAGGTAGTAGTTAGATAAAGAGCGTCTTAGTAGTAGCTGCTGAACTTAATAATTCCTGATGGCTTAAAAAGTATTTCTTATTTTTTAATCACAGAATGGAGGCATTCAGAGAATGGTGGGAAAAGAATGTGGACTGATCTAATTGACTCCTGCATGCCATTTTGATGTGGGGATGAGGAAAAAGACAGGGTTAAATCACTTAGAGGATTAGGCTATTAGCGAGGTGAAGACTGTCATTTGCTGGGAAGTGCAGTCATTTGCTGGGTTGCAAGGTATTTGTTAAAACACTAGGTTAGAGGAACTGAGAATTCTTTTCTGCATATGTTTGGTCCATACATAGTTGTCAGATAGGTATCTGAACGTTTGAATCTGGAGCTCAATGGGCTAAGGCCAGGCCTATTGATATAAAGATAGAAAATTAGCTTATTTACAATATTTCAAGCCATGGGGCTGGCAGAGGTCATCTAAGGAGAGTGTGTAAATAAATACGACATTCCAGTATTTACGGCATCTATTTCATTGTAAAGGATGGGCCACCAAAGGAAAGTAACCAAGTGCGGGACCAGTCAGAAAGCTCGGGGAGGCTGTGGTGTCAGGAAGCCCAGCATCTCCAGGCAGTGGAAAGAGTTGAATATACTAAAATCAAAAAAGAGGAGAATGAGAATGGAGACTTGTTCAATGGATTTAGTAAACTAAAAGTCACTTGAGACCTTGACAAGAATTACTTCATAGAGTATTATGGGCAATTTTCTGAAGTGTTAAGAGAATGAGAGGTAAGGTAATAGTGATAGCTATTCATAGATACCTGATATGAAAAGAAATAGAAAATCAAGACCATACTTGAAAAGAATGCAAGAGTAAAAGAGGAATTTGTTTTTATTTTTTGAACTTGTATTTTCTACATTTTCTAGATGAACATTATTTCTTTTGATAATTAGAAAATCTGTGTGGTGCTGTTTTTATTTTTCAAAAGAAATATGGAAGGAAACTCTTGCTTTATGATTTAATACCAGGTTTTTCAAAGGCTAACCCTATGACTATTAGTATGATCATGTCGTCATAGATGAACAATCAATTGAAAGAAATGCAGAAATTCATTTTATTGCACACTGACTTCCTTAACCCTTGAGAGTTCCAAACCTTGCAAAAAAAAAAAAAATACTGTTTTAAGAGCTTTCCGACGTCATTGGCATCACTGAACATTTATCCAGATGTTCCCATTTTTATGAATGAAAATGATTAAATAATGACAAGATTTACAAAATAGAATAGGGCCACATGAAATGACTGTTATGGCTGAGTTGCTTATATGCAAATCAACCTCAATCTGAAAAATAAGGCACAAAATAATAGCACTTAAAAATTTGTTTCAAAATTATTGTCGAATATATAATATTTTAATTTTTTGCCTTTGTATTCATTTTTTAATTATCTAGGGCTGTTAATTAGGTAAACAGCAAGGATCGTTAACATCTTTGATTAAGAACATAATATAGAGGTAGTACCTTCCAAGGGTACTTGTTTTTTTCAGACTTCAATATTCTAAAAAGAGAGTTAAGTCTATACGATAGGTGGTAGGTGTTCATACACATCTTTTGTTTGTTTGTGTTTTATGGGTTTAGGGTCTCCCTAAACCAAGTGTTCTTACTATACCACACCCACCACCAAAATCACGAAAGGGTTGCTGGGCCTCTGCTCAGTCAGTGATATTTCTTGCTAATGGATGTTCTAGAAGCTTGGGAACAGCTAAAGTGACGCCAAGAGTCTGTTGATCAGATTGTGGCACTGTTAGAAGTTGGTTGATCCAAAGATAGGTGACCGAAAAATGGGAAAAAGAAAAAGTAAATGAACAACCACCAATATTACTTGTTCATCTCTTAGGGAATTGTATTTTTATTGATGAAGAAAAATTGAAAAGTTTATTAACATTCACCAAAATAATTTTTTGGGTTTGTCTGCTGTCCTCCATGGGCCCAAGAAATGGAAACTAAAGTTCAGGATTCAGCAGAGAGTCATAGCTTACACAGTAAATGCCACTCTGTATCTAAGATCACCTCCAAAACACATACAGATAGCATCTGCTACAAAATAACAAGTGAAGTGTTCATCATTGAACACAACTATCAGAAGATAAATGGACTTTTTAACCCAAATTAGAGTTTCAATTAAAATGTTCTTTTTGAAAAAATTAAAATAATTAGATAATTAAATCATAATGTCCAAATATGTATTCAAAATATTTTTAAATTTAAAATAATAAAATGCATACGATTTTTTAAAATCACAAAAGGGTTTTTTTCCCTTTATTATAACTTTTATATATATTGTTAGTTAACTATGCTGTGGAGACTTTGCGAATATACTCTGGAGAAATCAATCATTGTGTAGGATGTTGGTCTAATGTAATATATATGTCCCAGATAACCTGGCTAAGGAAAGCATTATCCATTCAAACCCCATGCTTCTGGAAAATCTTATCTCTAAGTAACTCATATTAATCATGCTTAAATTTCCAGTCTTTACCACTTGATGCTACAACTTAAATTTCCAGTCTTTACCACTTGATGGTAGCATCAATTAATTCCAACAATAGATTACCTCCATTTTCTCAACCACATAGCCACATAAAATTAACTTCTGTGACTGGTATTCAATTTTTTCAAGGATGGAACTTAAGTAGGGCCATTCTAAATACACATAAGAGGTGTTACTCCAGCACGTATAATGGGTACTTTTTAGCACTACAAGTTTGCATCTTTCATGAGCACTGGTTTTGAAAGACTGATAGATAACTCAGTGTGATACATAAGGAAGATATTAATCATCTCAATTTATTGAGAGCTAGAATGGTCTCTGTAATTTTTAAATCAGTCTAAGCTGTTTTGATGTCTCAGTTCACTCCCCTACCTTTTTTGTCAGCTAATTTAAAACTATTTTTAACTGATATTCTGGCCAAAGGAATATTTTGCATTATTATAGTGACATTTTTTTTCCAACTTAGGATTTTCATTTTTTTCTACCTTGTGTCTACAGACAATGGATTTTGAAAAGAATACAAAAAGGAAAGAAATATATCATGAACTTCAAAGAATTTCACAATTATATTGGTCTTAAAGTATGACATGCCTAATAAAGAAAAGTTTTGTGCTCTGATCATATAAAAATTATTAGTTTGATACTGATAATCAGTTAGGGTTATAAGTAGACATGCAAAAATGTGTTTTGTTATTTTGTTAATTTAGATAATTTTATCAACTATACCATAATATATTGCAGAATAAATCTAACAGCAGTAATAGCAGAATGAAGGATTAATATATGGGTGTTTGCCCACAGATAACATGATTGTAATTTTTGGGGAATAGAATTTATTTTTGAAATACAATATCTGAACTATAATTCCAGTGTCTAAAAAATAGAGGCACTTTTGGTTTCAGGTAGCAGTGATGGTTCTGAACTAAGTGAAGAGACCTCATGGCCTGCTTTTGAAAGGTAAGAAAGATTGTTCGTTTCAACTACCTTGTTTGTCTTAAAATATGATAACATAAATTTTTAAGAGATGGGTTACTTATCTCTGAGAGACTAGAGATAAGTAGCTTCCTGCTGGTGGCAGAAATTAGAAGTTGATTATTTAATTCTGGAATTGAGTCTTATCTAATAAATATTTGTATATTTGGTGGCTTCATACATGCATTTGAATTTTAGTATATTAAAATTGTAATTTAAAGAGAGTAAGTCACAAGCAACTTATGGATTCAAAAGTAAAGTTATCGTCTTAAATTCTGGGTCATTTCAGTAATTTTAAAGCACTCAGTGGAATCATCAACTTCATTATCTGCTGCTTTGTCAAGGGCAAAATGACTTGGTAAATTTTAAAATGAACTATAAGTAAAGCATCCTGAAATTTGAATTTAACTGATCAGTAATTCAAAGTTTGCACAGAATGCACAGATATATATACTAGAATACGTATGTTGCTTTCCTTTCTTCTCCTTTCCTTATTGCTTTAAACTGTAAAAAAAAAACCATTATGTTTACAGTAAATATGCTATTTTGATTTTCCAATATAATATGGCCCTAAAAATGTAGCCAAACAGTGCAAATGATGGTGATTTACTAAAAGCCCACTAGGACTTTTGACCAAAATATTTTCCTGTCCTTTGTATTTAAACTAAATAAGCAACCTAAGTTTCATTTAGAATAAATTTTAAATGTCATATTAAAACTGATGAGTTGAAGGTACTTAGTCATCTAACTCCCTAGCATTCACTTTTTAATCAGAAGAAAAGTTAAACTGTGCATTTGAAATCATATTTGAGTTAGCTACTTTCATTAAAAAATTAGATTCTTTTTTTTTTTTTAAAGATTTATTTATTTATTCATACAGAACTCTGGGGTACAGGCCAGAGTTGCAGGGGCAGTGAGAGGCTTCACCAGAGACAGAGTCGGGGGCAGAACAGACAGATCAACGAAGTACACTGCTGAGGGGAGCAGCAGGCGGGTCAGGAGAGGTCTACCACGCCATGTGGTCACCTCCGGGGCAGGCGGGGATTGAACTCATGCAGAAGTTGCTTTTTTTGATTTCTTAGTGCTGTGCTTTAACCCGCTGAGCCACCAGGGAGGGCCAAAAAAATTAGATTCTTGATGAAATTTCATAAAGATTATGATCTTTTACTTGTAAACCCAGTATTTCAAAGTATTTTTTATTCTTCCTCCTGTGATTGTCAGTGTTATCAGATTTTGTTCTCTTCATTTGGGGGAATTCTTAACTTGTTTTTACATATTATTTTTCTTCCAACTTTCTCTTTCACTTTCTTTATTTGGGTTTGCCTAAAACAGGAAAAATTCAAGAGTTGCCTCTGGCTGGCTGGCTGAATTTGTACAAATTGTCTTTAGTTCTTTCCCTCTAGAAAGAACCTAGTAGCATCAGATGTTGATTATAGAGTATATTAGTATCTTTGGATAAAAAATTTTAATGAACAAAATTGTTCTCGGATTGCCTGTGTTATAAGTGAGTAATCAGATTGGTTGTGTAAAATAATCTGTTCTCATCCCACCAGGTTGAAGAGAGTATTTAATTGTGTTGCTTTCTTGTTTTGTTTTCTCAAAACAATACTTCTCTTTTGAGAGCAATCAGTGATATCCAACAAGATTCAAATATAAATAGTAACAAAAGAATTAGGATCTAAAACACTGCTTATGGATAGTGAACTTGCAAACAGTTACCCTGAATGTTAAACAATGCCATTTTCTGTACTTTTTCTAGACAGCACATATGTTGTGTCCTGAATTGTTAAAATAATGCTTTTTCTTTTAAATATCATTTATCAACCATGCTACTTTTGGCTTTTCCCGGGCAAAGAAGACAGCAGTTTATCTTTACGTGTGTGTGTGTGTGTGTGTGTGTGTGTGTGTCTGTGTGTCTGTGTCTGTGTCTGTGTCTGTGTTTTTGTCTGTATATGTATGTGTGTGTATTTCCTTTTTTATGTATTATATGTTACTGATTTTTATCATTTATTCATTTTGGTTGTAGAAATATTACTCAGTTTAATCTATTAGTTTTCTTTGCTTTAATATAAAGGATAGAGAGGAAAAATAACGTGGTTAGGCCACATTAATTTTAAGTTTCCATACCTTATTACTTTTAGGTGTCTTCATAGGGACATAAAAGAAAATTATTTATATAAACCCAGGTATTATATTCAAACTGGAATCCAGGAACTAGAATAGAAACAAAATAATTTTGGAAGTATATTTCAGCTTCTGATGTTATTTGGTTATAAAGAGCTCCTTAGTTATTTTAGCAGATTGGTGAAAGTGAATGTGTATATAAATATGTGGTATATGTACTAAGCTCCTATAAGTATTTCTAGACTCAATAGTGGAAAGAAAAATAATTTATGTCTATGCTGCATGCTTTAAAAAAGAGAGAGGAACAATCATAATCTGACCTTTTCTAAGATTACACAGACATTATTATACTGTTCTAGGTATTGACTATGATTTTGTGATTAAAAGTATATGTAATATATACAATTTATAATGGAATCCAACAGGAACAGATTATACCATTCTCTCGGCCCGGTGACAAGAGTGGCACGAAATGGCTATCGAAGCCACATGAAGGCCAGCAGGTACATTCCCCTGTATTCAGGGGTCACAGGAACTCCCCTCTGGTGTTGGTGACTGGCTTAATGGGTGTGGTCTCACTTTACTTCTGTTCTTTCTCAACTGATTTAAAGCTAAACAAAATGCCCAGGAAAACTTTCCAAGATTTAATCCCAGCAATAAATTTGAACGATTCTTTTGATCCACGGAGCTAATTGTTAAAGCCTATGTCTTCGTATCACATTTAAAAGTAATTTCAAGGTAGCTTATTTAACTGCATAGCTCTTCTAATGCTGTGAGCAGCACAAAAAATCTGCTTGTTAGTCAAAGACAGCAAAGCATTTTACTTTACTAATAAGTCTCACTGGATTTGCCTTTTAAAATAATTTTTCAGATGTATTACAGTTCCTAAATTTGGAGAAGTCTGTTTCCTTAACTAATATTTGTATATTTCAACTTATGTTCATTCAATTATTCATCTAGTTAAACTGGATCTCTTTCTGCACTTACTGGCTGCAGGAGAAAACTAATGTAGTAGATTGATGGGAGGCTGGAAGTCAGTGGTAATAGGTAATCATCCAACTCATAATACAACAAAACCACAACCGTTAAGAAGGAAGCTTTGTGTCAGTTGGATGGTGTCTGACCTTCTTGTGTATACCTTTCTGAGTATATAGCTCTATCATCAAATTTCTAGTTTTTTTTTTTAATTACAGATTTTTATTTATATGTGCATACAGAACTGGGGTACAGGCCAGAGGTGCAGGGGCAGTGAGAGGAGGATTCACCAGAGACAGAGTGGGGAGCAGAATAGGCAGATCGATGAAGTACACCGCTGAGGGGAGCAGCAGGCGGGTCAGGAGAAGTCTGGCCACGTGGTCAGTTCCAGGGCAGGCGGGGATCGGAACTCATGCAGAAGTGGCTTTAGCTTCTTAGTGCTGTGCTTTAACCCGCTGCGCCACCAGGGAGGGCCCTGTTTTAGGTTTTTAAGTCACTTTGAAGACACCTAAATAATCATTAAGGGATAAACTGGCAAACACTAGTTTTTTGCTTTCAAATCACCAGAGGATGAGAGAGTTTTAGTAATGTGAATGTTTTGAGTCTTGTGGAAGTCATACTTGTTTTAAAACAGAATCTTAAATGACTGGGGGAAAATATTTAAATGTGTTTTTTGTGTGTGATGCTTTTCTTAAGATAAATGAAAGTAAATCTTGCATTTTAGAATTGTTCCTTTCTTGAAGAACTGTTTGGCTATAATCAGACACACTTTGACAGCTTTTAAATGTCACTAAAATTTCTGGCACAAAACCAATTTTTAAAATATGTTGTTATTGCCGTAATTACTTCTTTCAGCTATTTTACAATTAAGTACAGGTCTTTCTTCTCCTTTTCTGAACTTCTACCAATTATTTTTAGTTTTAGTTTTTTATGTTTAAATACTTTTAATAAATGGAACTTTATCTATCCCGCTAGGACTTAGTGTTTCTCATGGGGAAAAAAGATCACAGCAGTGATGCAATGTTACATGTTAAGAAGTTTTAAATTCTTAATAAAAAGTAAATTACGGTATTGTTTCTAAATAATATTTGTTCAAATGTGTATTAAAATATGTTTTTACCACCTGCTGATTTAATCACTTCCTGATTAACTTTTAAATATCCTGACAACTTATAAATATCAGACCAATAAACCTTTTTAATTGTCATTGACTTCTCATTCTGAGTAAAGCAATACATTTTAAAATTAAGAATAATTACATTTTGTTTTATATATAAAAGTATCTGTTTGATAACTACTATAGAGTAAGTGCTTATATTTTCTTTTCTTCATTTTACTGTTACAGTTCTGCAGAATCAGAAGACTTGGCAGTACATTTATATCCAGGAGCTGTTACTATTCAAGGTGTCCTCAGGAGAAAAACTTTGTTAAAGGAAGGCAAAAAACCTACAGTAAGATTTTGTTACTTTTTTTTTTAAAGATTTGTTTTATGTATGCTTACAGAACTGAGGTACAGGCCAGCGTTGTGGTGGGTAAGAGGATTCACCAGAGACAAAGTGGGGAGCAGAACAGGCAGATTGACAAAAATACACTGCTGACAGGAGCAGTGGGTGGGTCAGAAGAGGTCTGCCATGCCATGTGGGTCAGCTCCCTGGCCAGGGATTGAACTTGTGCTACAGTGGCTTCAAAGAGCTTCATAATGCAGTGCTTTAATCTATTGTGCCACCAGGGAGAGCTCAATTTTGTTACATTTTTAACATGCATCTAAGAATATGTAAATTCATAGGGGCCTTAAAAATACACTGAGACAGTTGATGCTAAAAATGCAGCTTCCGTATGACCCAGTAATCCCATTCCTAGGTATCTACCCAAAAGACACAAAAACACTGATTCAAAAAGACAGCTGCACCCCCATGTTTAATGCTGCTTTATTTACAATAGGAAAGACATGGAATCAACCCAAATGCCCAAAAGTAGATGACTGGATTAAAAAGATGTGGTAAAATACACAATGGAATATTACTCATGTTGCCTTTTGCAGCAACATGAATGGAGCTAGAAGGGATCATGCTTAGTGAAATAAGCCAGAAAGAAAAAGAAAAATACCAGATGATTGCACTCATAGCAGGAATATAAAGGACCGGGGGGGGGGGGAAATAATAATAATGGACAACTATGTACCAGAGACATTTTATGGGGGTGGAGTGGGGAATGGAATCAAAAATGGGAGCAGAGGGAGTACACATGGTGATGGCACACTGGTGATTTGGTGTGGTGAGGGGGAAGCCCACGAGGATTACAACTGAGTTGGGAAAATGCACAAAATGATGTAAAAATAAACTACTGTATTATTTTTAAAAATTCATATATATATATATATATAAAGACAGTTGAAATAAAGTCAGATCAGTAGTAGACTTGAAGTAATTTAAAATGAATGTTTGCTTAATTATGTTTCTTAAAGTGTTATTATACCTGCTATGTAGGTTTAGTGAAGTCATACATTAAAAATGCTTAAACCAAGGTAAACTTGTACTAATCTGTGCCCCTAATGTAGTTCATTACTCGACTACTAGTGAACTACCCAGCATGTCACTGAGGCATTACCACACCTGTGTGTGCCCGATGCTAGGGATACAGCAACAAACAAGATGAGACAGTGTGTCTTTGATAGGCAACTGCATTCCATTGAGGAAAAATAGAAAATAAACAAGGCATTTGAACAAAGAAGGTAAGTTGGCCTTGTGAAGATTTGGAGTTCAGGAGATAAGAAGGCCTAGATTGTTGAAGCACTGACAGTGAAGGTTAGCCAGAGCAAAGGCAGATGTGATGAATAAGCAGAAGACTGGTGCAATAGCAGCTACTAGGTTTTGGCCTGAGCAAGGTGACTGACTGTTGGGGATATTTTTTGAAGTCAGGAAAAGTTTTTAGGTGGCATATAAGTCTTGGTCAAGTTCAGTTTAATATTCTTAGAAGACTTTAAAATAGAGATGTCAGTTTGGCTTTATGAAAAGTTGTTTAAAAGTCTGGCACAGAAGTAGTGGCGAAAGGTGGAGATTTGGGAGTCTTTGATAGTTCTTGAAATATGAAATGGCATGAGAGATTATCTACGAAGAAAATGAGCTGAAATTGAGCTGAGAAAGAAAACAGGATGGGGGATAGAACTCTGTAGCATTTAAAGATCTCTTGTGTGTAAAGGAAAATAAGAAACTATTATTATAGAAACCCAGCAGGTGAAGTATTTCAAGAAGGAAAGAATGGCTGGCTATGTTCAATGCTACTAAGAATCCTGACTACAGTAGGAACAGAGGCTTTGAATAAAATATTAGTGATAAATGTTCATCTGCCACGTGGAAGTAAATTGGGAAGAAAAGTGGGCAAAAGTGGAATCAGGAGACAGTCTTGCAAGAGATTATGCTGTGAAAAGGAGCAGAGAAACTGGTGGTGTCTGATGTGTTAAAAGGAGACTTTTAAAGATGGTAACACACGTTTGTATAATGGTGGTAAAGAGAAAGAAGTTGAGATACAGTAGTGAGAAGAATGGATTGTAAAAGCGCATTCCTGGAGAAAGTGACAAATAGTACACATCTAGGTTATAAAAGTAGGGCAAAGTTTCTCCTTTGACAGAAGCAGGGTTATCTATTCTGTTAGGAAGAAAGACTGAGTGTTTCTATGTAGGTGGTCAAATGATCTGTGAAGATGTGGTCATCCTCAACAGATACCCATCCACTTTTCCCTAGGATGTATGCAATGACATTGTTGGAGGTAGAATATTAAAATTTTAAAAAGAAAATGTGAACTAGAGTAAAAAGACTTCATCGAATATAAATAAATAATTTCCACTTGACACTAGTAGTCATAATCTTTATCAGTTGATCTGATTATGTGATTCTCCAGCAACATTCAGCATCTAGATGTGGTGCCAAGTAATCAGAAGGTTAGATTTAATTAGGGTTAGGACTTTACTAGGAGACAGGAAACAGTGAGGTGTTTTGTATTTGAAAAGGAGTACACATTTACTAGACAATGTAGTGTCGGCTAAATATGAAGCAGGAGGAGAGAGGATGCAGAAGTGGGAGGGAGTCGCACTACTAGATAATATTAAAAAGTGGTAGGATGAGATCATGAATTATCTTTTTAAAAGTACTGTATTGTATTAAATGGAAATGGTAGGAATATTTGAGGTAAAGATTTCAGAAGCTATAATACTCTTAGGATTGGGCTGGAATGACTGGCATGGAGTAAAACTAAAGATCATTAACACTAAGAACGGTAAACTGAGAAGCCAGAGCATTTCACTAGTATATTTGTGTGTGTGTTCTCTCCAGGTAGCATCTTGGACGAAATATTGGGCAGCTTTATGTGGGTCACAACTTTTTTATTATGCTGCCAAATCTCTAAAAGCTACAGAAAGAAAACATGTAAGTATTCTTCCTCTGAATTGTTAACAGTTTCACATCCTCTTTATGGTTTTAAAGAGAGTAGTAGTCCTAATGGAACTGTTTGATTTTTTTTTTTCCATAGTCGAATCCAGAATTTCTACACCTATTTGTGTATGAGTATGGTAATGGATTGACTTAACTAGTAAGACCATTCGTTCCAAGAAAGGCCTTAGAGTAACTATGTTGAAGTATCTTTTTTTTTTTATAACAGTTTATTTTTACATCATTTTGTACATTTTTTTTTCCCATCTCAATTGTAATCCCCGCGGGTTTCCCATCACCAAGTCACCCGTGTGCCATCACCATAATCCTGTGCACTTCCCTCCCCACCCCCACACCCCCATTTTTGATCCCATTCCCCACTCCAACCCCGCAAAATGTCTCTGGCATATGGTTGTTCATTATTTTGTTATTTTCTCGCCTGGTCCATTATACTCCTGCTATGAGTGAAACCATCCGGTATTTTCTTTCTCTTTCTGGCTTATCTCACTAAGCATGATCTTTTCCAGCTCCATCCAAGTTGCTGCAAAAGACATGTGTTTCTCTTTTTTGGTTGCTGAGTAATATCCCATTGTATATATGTACCACATCTTTTTAATCCAGTCATCTACTTTTGGCATTTGGGCTGCTTCCATGTTTTTCCAATTGTAAATAAAGCAGCAATAAACATGGGGGTGCAGGTATCTTTTTCACTCGGTGTTTTTGTGGAACCTTCCTGTAAAGTTTTGAACTTTTTTCTTTTCTTTTGTGCATGCTGCTTCATTTTTATATGCCAGTGACACAGTCTTTTAAAAGAATAATTTTCCATGTTGCATTAATGAAATTTCTCTCAATGGAATTTCTAAACCATCTACTTTGGGGGAAATTAAGTGGTTTACCGAACTAACAAAGATTGAGCCAGTAAAAAAAAGTTCTTTTTCTACTTAATAAATTAGCCAAATAATTTTGTATAATTCAGAGAAGTTCTCACATAGCCACTCTGGATTCTATCCAGTAGGCTATTACAAAGAAGTAGCTATTCAAACTAAAAATTTTTCCCCTAAATAGACAAATTAGATAAAATTGATGGGATACCTGAATTTGTCATCTAGTTGATGCATAAATCTCTGTATTTGGCATTGTTGCGTTGTGCCAAATACAAATGCATTGTGATAATGTGGAGTTTTAATTAAATAATTTTTTTCTGACAGATAACAGTTATGAAATGTTTAAAAGTTAGAGCATAGTGGGTTGTGAGGAAATCAAAATTGAGTTCTAAGGAACATCTTTTCTAGGTAAAACTTACTATTAAAGAAAGAATTGTAAGAACAAGAATACAGGGACTAGTCATGATTTTGTTTATTATCACTTTTAGGATAGAAGAGATAAGGCATAGAAGTAAAAATAATAGAGAAAAAATAATTTTCAGAGAAAGTTAAAAATACAGGTAAAATTAATGAAAATACTGTGTGTAAACAGCAAATAAATGTTTAAATCTATTATATAAACATAGCATCACCTATGTGAGCTTACCTAAAGCTTAATTTGAATCTAATCATGAGGAAACAATGGAATCCAGATTGTAGGAATTCTACAAGACAACTGGCTTATATTATTAAGACTAAAGTTTGGCAGCTGGAATGGGAAAGGGGGGCAGAAAAAGTGTTTTAGATTAAAAGATTAAGGAACCATGACAACTTAATGAATACGTGTACGTTGGTTGAATCCTGGAAGTTATTTTTTTTTTAAACAGCTATAGTATCATAATTAGGAAAACTGAAGAGATTTTTTTTATTATAATAGTTTATTTTTACATCATTTTGTGCCTTTTCCCATCTCAGTTGTAATCTCCATGGGCTTCCCATCACCAAATCACCCATGTGCCATCACCATAGTCCAGTGTATTTCCCTCCCCCCACTGTTTTTGATCCCATTCCCCACTCCACCCCATAAAATGTCTCTGGTATATAGTTGTTCATTCCTCTCCCCGCCTCCTGATCCCCTCTCACCACTCCCCACCCCCCACCAGCCCTTTATGTTCCAGCTATGAGTGAAAAACATCCAGTATTTTTCTTTTTCTTTCTGGCTTATTTCACTAAGCATGATCCTGAAGAGATTTTTAACATGGACTTTTTTTTATGACTATAGCTATTAAATTTCTAAGATTGACATTGTAGTTATATATGTATATGAAATACTTAATATTCTGTGTTATACTCTGCAATTTAGGTTTGTTTGTTTTTTTTTTTAAGATCTATTTATGCTTACAAGAACTGGGGTACAGTTAGAGGTGTGGAGCAGGTGAGAGAATTCACCAGAGACAGAGTAAAGAACAGAACAGATGGATCAACTGAAATACACTGCCGAAGGGTGCAGCAGGCGAGAAAGGAAAGGTCTGCCCCACCATGTGGGCCACCTCCCTAGATGGGGGTTGAACTCATGCTGCAGTGACTGCAACCAGCTTCACAGTGTTGTGCTTCAACCTGTTGTGCCACCAGGGAGGGCCCAAACTTAGGTTTAAATGTTCAAGTGGTCAAATAATACAGGGTAGATCAAGGATATAGTGACAGTCAGGTTACTGTTCTTTAAACTTATCTTTAGTTTGACTTTTTCCAAATTAAAGGCAAGAGGAGAAATTGTCTCATACCTGTTCGTATATGTACATAAATGCAGAATGGGGACATCAAAGATGATAATATAACATTGACCTTGGTGTTAAAAAATAAAGTCAGTGGGAGGCCCAAGAGGATTACAACTGAGATGGAAAAAGGCACAAAATGATGTAAAAATAAACTATTTATCATTAACAACAAAAAAACTCCTGGAATACAAAATCACAAAAATAACATCATCCACATTAGCAGAATTTTTTTTTCAGTCTTTACACTCTATTACTTAGTGTGCAAAACTTAACCTACCCTCTCCCAAACCTCCCATGCTATCCCCCTATTCCTTTCTGCTCCTCTTTTCTCCCTCTCCCCTGTTCCCTCTGGTAACTAGTATATTTTTCACTAAATTAGGAATTGTTTTTGCTGTGCTTTGCTAGAATGTTTTTTGATTATTTGTATCTCATAGAAATGAAACCATCTTCTATCTTTTCATTTCTAACTTATTTCACTTCCATCCATGATGTCCCAGAAGGCACTTTTTTGTATTTTTTAATAAGTTGAGTAGTGCTCCACTCCATGATTTCTTTATCCAGTCATTTGTCGTTGGGTGTTTAGTTTAGGTTCATGACAAGGCAATTGTGGACAGTGCTGCTGTGTGTGTTAGTTCTTTCATACTCTTTGTGTAAATACCTAGCAGAGGTATTGCTGGATTGTATGAAGTTTGCATTTTTATCTTTCTAGGAAATCTCCATACCATTTTCCATAGAGGTTAAGCCAGATAGCATTTCCTCCAACAGTGAATGAAGAGTTCCTTTTTCTCCACATCTGTACCAACATTTGTGGTTTCCATCCAGTTTGATGTAGGCTATTTTTACAAGAGTACAGTGCTAGCTAATGGTTTGGGTTGTATTTGCCTTTGAAATTAGTGATGTTGAACAATTTTTCATGTGCTTGTATGCCGTCTGAATGTCATCTTTAGAAGAATATCTTTAGGTCTTTCACCAATTTTTTGATTGGGTTGTCTTTTTTGGTTTGGTTGTGTAAGTACTTTGTATATTTTGGCAATTAGCCCCTTATCAGATAATGTGGTATGTAAATATCTTCTCCCAGTCTCTTAGATTGCCTTTTGTTTTTATGATTTTTTTGTTTTAAGTAGAAAATCCTTTTAGTTTAAGGTAATCCCACTTGTTTATTTTTGCCTTTAGTTTCCTGCCATTGGAGTTACCTCCTCAAATGTCTTTTTAGTAGTGTCCTGTTGTGTACGCCCTGTATTTTAAGGATTTTATGGTTTCGTTTTTTTATATCCAGATCTCAAATCCATTTTTGTGTATGTGCTTAAATATGGATTAATTTTTGTGCATGTGCTTAAATATGCATCATTTCATTTTTTTTAATGTGACTATCCATGTTTCCCAGCACTATTAGTTAAAGAGGCTTTCTTTTTCCCTTGTATGGTCATGACTTCTTTGTTCTTTGACTCCATATTTGTGTAGTTTTATTTCTGGACATATGTCCTATTTCATTGGTCTGTGTTTTTGTTTTTGTTCCAATTTCACACTGATTACTGCTATGTGGTACAGTTTGAAGTCAGAGAATGGGGTATCTCCACTTTTCTCAGGATTGCTGGGCTGCTTTGTAGTTAGATACATATTTTATAACTGTATTTCCTTGAAAAAGTCATTGGAATTTTGATAGGTGTTGTATTGAATTTATTAATTGCTTTTGATGATATGGCCATTTAATGATGTTGGGGTGGCTTTCCAGTTCATGTCTTCTTCTTTTCCTGTATCAAAGTTTTAAAGTTTTCAGTGTATAGTCCTTCACTCCTTCACAAAATTTACTGCCTGATACTTCATTCTTTTGGGTATGAAAGAACTGGAACTGCCTTCTTATTCATTGTTCATATATAAAAATACAACTGATTTTGTATCCTGCCACTTCACCGTATGTACTGATTATTTCTAGCAGTTTTTGGTAGAGTCCCTTTGGGGTCCTCTCTGTTTATCGACATGTCATCTGTGAATACTGATACTTTTGCTTCTCTTTTGGTTTGGGTTCCTTTTATGTCTTTTTCCTTCCCCTAATTATAAACACCCAAAATATTTATTAAGGAAATACTTAAGGTAAAAAACAACAAATTAGAGTATTAATATATTCCTATTAGTATTTAAAAAGTAACAGTGAAAGAAGCTTCTCAAATAAATATATAGAGAAAGTTCCAGAGTCCTACACCCCAACAATTATGAATTCTGGATAGTAAGAAAAGATTCACATGCTGGTCAAAGAATTTGTACTCTGTGAGTTCTGTATTTTCATTAACTGTCTTGTCTTTCTCAGTTCAAATCAACATCTAATAAGAACGTGTCTGTGGTTGGGTGGATGGTGATGATGGCTGATGACCCAGAGCACCCAGATCTCTTCTTGCTGACTGACTCTGAAAAAGGTAAAACACTGTAGTTACGAGGGTTCGGAGTACTTTGTATGCATAATGTTCAGTAAGCCCAAACCTAGTTTAACAGGAATTCTTCACAGAGGGAATGTAGACATACTTCTACATTCATATGTAGAAATACTTCTGCTTCATAATAATGTAATGATATCAGTAGTTTTAGAACTTATTTCCTTGCTAGGTGGACATAAACTTGAAATTAAAAACCTGCTAATCCCAAGAGAGCTAAACAGGAAGGGAAGGAAGAAAGGAATTTGAGAATCTGTAGGCCACTGTTATTTAAAATCACAGAAATTTTCCATAACTGCAATACCCTCCATTTATACCTTAAAATAGCTATTCTTAATTTCTGAACATATCAGAGGTTTTCTTTTAAAGTGCTTTTACTTCATTACTTTTAGTAGATTATTTGGTTGTCTTATCACTTTCAAAATAAGTATCATTTTCATTTTAATACCTTACTTATAGCATATAGAGACATTTAAGAACAATAGTATTGACTGTTGACCATAGGAGCTATAAAGTACATGAGAGAAGTGGAAGGGTAGGCTGTGTAGACACAGGTCATACCTTCTAGCCCTGCTTGTCCAGTAGTGGACACCTCAGGCAGTCCTTCAGAACAGTCCTGTGTTATTGCTGCTCTCCCTTCAAACAACTGCCAGCTGTTGGTAACAACTCTAGGGCACCCAGAAAGGAAACTTCCATATCTGCCCAGACTCCTCCTGATCTAACAACTCACAACTAAAATGATACATTACATTTTATTGATTTTCATTGTATTTTCTCTTGGCTTATTCAGATATGTTTTGTATCAACTGATGCTCTGCTTTTAGCATATTATGGTATTTTAAGTAAAAATTTAAATAAGCAAATATGTTGGACATAGAAAAAAATAATAGCCAGGTGTCTTATTTTGAGATTAAGCTGACTTACAGCATAGGTACTCCTTACTCAACATTCTGAAAAATTACACTTTAAACGACACCCAGTAGACACCCCACTGACAGCAACAAAGGCCCCATGTAGGCTCTCCGAACAGGCACAGGTCTACTAAATAATGTCAGAAATGAATTTCTAGTTTTCTGAAAGAGTAAAGGTACCTCCTTAGATTTTCTGAGAAATTCTTTAGGAGAACTGGAAATCTATAATAATTTTACAAATATAACTAAAGACTAAAAGCATAGTAGATATTGAGAGTATCTGATTAATCTTTAATTATAATAAATAGTTAATGTTTAAGATGAAAAATGTTAGAGCATTTTATCATTTAAAAACTTAATGTTGACATCTAATACTAAGATCATCTGAGTAGTATTAAGAACCAATATTTAGCACTCTCATCCACATAAAGAAATCTGAAAACATTGGACAATTATTTTATATACTTTAAAGTACAGTTAAGGAAACAAAATCATTTATGAAATTAATCCATAAACAGCAAAACAGTAGCTTTCTGAATAAATATATATGAATGTAGCATAGAGAATTCTTCCTGTAGGAATATATTTCTGAAACTAAGAAATCTAGTATGTTTTATTTTGCTCTTTAATATCTGACAGAATTACTGTATGTCTTAGTCTTTAAGGTTTTGTTTCTTTTACCTTTATTTTTTAAAAATATAGGAAATTCATATAAGTTTCAAGCTGGCAATAGGATGAATGCAATGCTGTGGTTTAAGCATTTGAGTGCAGCCTGCCAAAGTAACAAGCAACAGGTGAGCATTTCTCTGAATCCTCAGAATAATCCTTCACTTTTGTGTATATTTTAAAGAATTCTAAAGAGTATTAAGTGAACTGACTTTCTGAATTAACTGGGAAATGTTAAATGATCTAAAAGTCAAAAAGTAAAAACTGGGGGAGACACAAACTATTTTCATCCTTTTAAGTCCATCTTTGTTAGGGTGGGCTTTTTTTTCTCATACTTTATTTCAAATATGTATAAAAGATTAATAGCTATCTTTTGATTCCATCTTTAGCGACCATCATAAAGAACATAATGCCATAGAGCAAAAAATTATTTTCTTGCCCTTGTCAAATTAGTGCCTGGTACAGAATGAAAGAAACAGAACTCCTTGCCAAGACTAAACCTTTTAGGACTCAACAATATCCTATACATTTTCTTTAAATGCAGCCAAAGTGTCACTTTTTTTCTTAAATTCAGATTTCAAGACTAATTTAGACAATGAATGTATTTTTAGCATATAAGTTCTGTTGCTTTTATTGTATTAGAGTTGACTTTCCTGTACACCAAGTCCACAAGATATATATAAATGGATTTTTGGTTTGTTTGTTTTTTTTTTTTCCTTATACCTGCAAGAGTCAGAGTAGTGACAGATTTATAAAAAGAAACTGAAACTTGGAAGTTTTTAGAAGACTCTAATTGACTCATATATTATACCTTAAACCACATTGAGACAACTAGAAGGGTCTATAACTTTTACTTTACTAAATTATGGTTTTTATAGCCAGCCCTAAGAATTCATAATTTAAGCATCTGAGCATTTGCCATACTTGATTTATAATTTAGTTATTATGATTACATTGTCAAGTAATTTTTCATTCAGAAGTTAATATATGTAAAAGATTCGTTCTTCCTTTTTTCTTTCCCATTATCCCAAGTTTTTTTAAAAAACTGTTTAAGTATAGAAACTGTTTTAAAGAATAGGGAAAGATAACTACATATGGTATCTCTAGGAGCACAAATTTGGAAGACTGGTTATAAAAGCTGAGTGCGTTCTTTCAGCATGATGAAACCCTTTTTAGTCCTTGACTAGAGGACTCAACTGATTTTAAAAAATCATATTTCAAAAACTTATACAAAACCAATTTGAATTTGATTCAATTTGTAAATGGCAAGCTATTATGACTTATGGATTTTTCAGTCACAGTGTATCAATAAGAATTTAGTAATTTTATCCTTTCATATTTATTTTCATGATCATTTCTCAAAGAAATTCTTAGTAGTGGTTATCATAAAATCATCTGTGCCAGATTTTTAAATTTGCATGCAGGAATTTATTATAATGCATAGAGTGGGGAAATAACAATGACAAGCATTTTTGTCCAAAATCTCACTATGTTAAAACCATACTTAATTCTTTCCTCATCATTTGTTCCCTCAGTGAACATCTTTTGCCCTCCTATTCTTTTTAAAGATCTATTTATGCTTATGGGAGCTGGGTTACAGACCAGAGATGCAGGGGGTGAGAGGCTTCACCAGAGACAGAGTGGGGAGCAGAACAGGCCGAATGATGAAGTACACTGCTGAGGGGAGCAGCGGGCGGGTCAGGAGAGGTCTGTTGCACCATGTGGGTCACCTCCCTGGCTGGGAACCAAACTTGAGCTTCAGTGACTGCAAATAGCTTCATAGTGCTGTGCTTTAACCTCTTGTGCCACGAGGGAGGGCCCTGCCCCCCTGTTTCAGACAAGCGAGGTACTGCCCCTACTCCTCCTCCTACCTCAGCTTCAATTTACTGGAGGACATTAATTCATCTTAGTGATGTTCCTCTCAAAGTTCCAGTATAATATGCTCATTATTCATAAATGATTACAGTGCCTTCTATCAAATTTCTTTTAAAAGTTATTTACATGAGAAAGACTTTACTATTTGAACTTAATATAATTAGGAAAGTTAAGAAATACTACTTTGAAAAATAGTATGGAGTTGTATCAAAATATTAAAAATAGATCTATCACAATCCAGCGATTCCATTCCTAGGTATCTACACAATGCAAAAACACTAATTCAGAGGAATATATGCACTCCTATGTCCATTGTAGCATTTTTGCAATCGGCAAGTTTTAGAAACAACCTAAGTGCCTCAGTACAGATGAGCGGCTTAAGATGGATGGTGTGGCGCATACACATAGTGAAATACTACTCAGGGTAGATGGAACTAGATAGGGTAGCTCTAAGAGACAAACACTGGATGGCTTTTAGAGAACATAGACAAAACAACAATTCTGACTGAACTTCGAAGTCCATCTTTAGCATCCCTGCTCCCAGAGGTGGAGAGTATAGGGGGGTCCTGGTGGACTGCGGGCAAGGGCTATGGTCCCTTGGTGGGGTGTAGTGACATACTTCTGAAGGGGGGGGTGATCCTGAATCTCTGAATCACATAGTGTAATCAGTGTTACCTCAAAATAAATACTACTGGCCCTCCCTGGTGGCGCAGCGGGTTAAAGCACAGCACTGAGAATCTAAAGCCACTTCCGCATGAGTTCGATTCCCGCCTGCCCCGGAGGTGACCACATGGTGAGGCAGACCTCTCCTGACCCGCCCGCTGCTCCCCTCAGCAGTGTACTTCGTAGATCTGCCTGTTCTGTTCCCCACTCTGTCTCTGGTGAAGCCTCTCACCGCTCCTGAGCCTCTGGCCTGTGCCCCAGTTCTGTATGCACAAATAAATCTTAAAAAAAAAAAAAAAAAGAAAATGTACAAAAACCTAATAAAAAATAAATAAATAAATACTACTTTGAGAAACAACTTCTATACACTATCAATTTGTAATGCTTATATATTTTTAGGTACCTACAAACTTGATGACTTTTGAGTAAAAAATCTAGGAATGAAGAAGGATGAACTATTTCACCTAAGTGAGAGCAAGGACCTGACAAAAGAGCGCCAGCTATAAACAGTCCTGTGCCAGGGAGAGCCCCGAAGTTCTGACTTAGCCTCTGGAGTTCTGAACCAAAAAGCACTAATTTCAGGGAATGAAGTAAGATATTCCCAGAGAACCAATTGGAGTTGCAAAACAAACTGCCATGGACCATGCTTCTTATCTCTGAACTGACCTGTGGAAACCACTGCCTTAAAAGAATGAAAGGAAAACCAACATGAAACACCAAATAGTGTGTGTGAATCTTCTGGCGGTGCTGTGCTTGGAATAGCTCATAGCTCATTTGCGTTTCTTTTAACTTTGTACTAATTTTGGAGGGGGAATCGCCTTTTTTTAGATACACTTTGAAAAAGAAAAACTTACTTCTTTTGGGTTACATTGGGAACTCCTTTTGAACTGAGGTCTACAGACACTTAGTAAGGTTTTCCCTGCAGTTAACCTGAAAGAAGTGTGTTGCCTCCATCAGTCTGCAGCCTCACCCGATTCTAATGAGAATGTAGGAAATAGGAAAGTTAATAAAATGTGGATTGTTGAGGTTTGTTTAGATGGGGGTGGGAGTGTTTTGTTTTGAATGAGGGGGAATTTTTTGAAACACTAAAATTCTGAAATTCAATACTGTATGGGGAACTATTTCCTGCAAAAGGTTTTAAGATTGAGCAGTCATATGCCAGATACAGTTTTTTCAAATGGGCTCCAGAAAACATGGCTGTTTTTAACTAAGTTTAAAGTTAGCCTTCCATATGAACTCATTGTTGGGCCACCCATCTGCTTAGTAGAAAGCTATCCCCACCTGAACTTTTCTGCAAAAACTTACAGAATAATTACATTTTTTCCCAAGTTACTTGGATTAGCCCTCTACTGGTCACAGGTGATTTTTATCATCAGGGTGATAATATTAACATTTTATGAGGATATTTTTCTTTTACAGTGTTTAAATGTGCACAATGCCATTTTATTAATTCTTCATTTTCGTTATTTTTGTTCAATATAAGATTCACAAACATTTATTTTGAGATTCCACATATGTATGTATGTGTGCATATATAAAGCATAAAAAATAACTTTTAAAGGGAGATAAGGTGAAAGCTTGAGATTCTGAAAGTTTTTAAGTATCAAAACTTCACTTATACAGCATTCCTGTTTTAACATTTTCCCATCAACTTAATACTCTACCATGAAAGCCTGTTTTGTCAGTTATTTGAGAGCCCTCCTATGCCATGGTGCATTTAATTTCCAAAATAATTATTCAGTTACAGGAAGAAAAAGTCTGAAGATCAGTTGCCATAAAATTTTGTCAAAAAATGGCACTTGAACAAAGACTGTGTTGGATGTTAGAACTTTAACGGTGGCCTGGTAAGAAAACTTAACATCTTCTAACAGACTTCTGTTACTTTGGACCTCACACAAAATGTCTGACATTTGTATTCTTTTATAAATTTATATTTCTCCTTGTAAGTATTTTACCCTTAAATAGAAAATATTGCCCATGCAATAATTAGCTAAAGATCTATCCAAAGAAAAGTAGAAAAGCTTCTCCTGAGTGTTAAGTTTTATAGTTTTCTATTTGGAAAGGACATTGAGAATTCACATACCTTTCTCAGATGGCACAGTCAGAAATATTATTTCTGGTTTTGTGGAAAGTGACAAAAGCAAGTAAGGGCAAAATGTTGCCTATGCTGAATGATCTTTCAATTAATAATCTCCCAAATTTAACCCATGTTGGGTACAATCCTATCTGCATAACCAGCAGTATTACTATGTAGACCTTGCACATCTTACTTTTGTTTTACATTTTTTTTTAATTTCTTCATTTCTTTTCAGAAATAAGCATTTTTAACAGTGTGGTTTTTAAAAAATATATTGTGGATGAGAAAACTGTGGATTTTTGTTATTATTTTGTTTGTCATGAATAAGCTGTGTTATAGGTTAACCATTTCTGTGGGATATGCAACTGGAAGTCAGAGCCTGATGTCACACAGTTTTGCCAAAGAGAGAGCTAAGTCGGAAGATGCATTTTACATTTTCAGGTCTAAATAATAATGGGCACTTGCACAGATTAAGAATAGTGTTCAGGTCTGGAAACTAGTGTCTATACAGATTTGTGACCTCTGACTGACTGAAATGCTACTAAACATAGTTGAGCAGAAGTCACCACTGTTTTCTGTCTTCAGATTTCTTCATTCAAAAGATTAGTCATTGTGTTAAAGTTATTTTAGCACTTGCAGCAAATGGAAACTAGTGAGAGAAGTTACTTATAATACCACTAGGTGAATTTTTTGTCAGTCATGGATCAAATGATATCTAATAATTCAGGCAAAGAATATATGTCACCAAAACAAATATTCAGAGATTTTTTTTTTAATCAAAGGTGTTTCCCTCTTATTAGACCTGCCCTTATAAATTCAGAAGTATGAAGTTTCCATCAATATTAAGGTCATTTGTTTCTCTCCTAACCAAGAACCCCATTATTTAAATTTAAACTCTTTCATGATAAGCATAATGATTGGCTTGTTATAGGCTCAGCTTAGCAGTATACACTACTGGCCAAAATACAACTCAAGGCACACCTCAGTTATTATTCGAATGTGGAGGCTTTCCCCCCCCCCCCATTTTTTACACATCATTGCAAAATGACCATATATAGTGATCTTTGGTTTCATGCCCCCTCTGTTTCAGCTTTACTTACTTTTTCAGAGATATCATTTTTATTGTAAAAATACAAAATAATCAGAATGGAAAGAGAACTAATCAGACACATCTTACTATTCATTTTCTTTACTATGGAGATATTATTCGTGTAAACATTACAAAAAGGAACCCAAACAATTTGAGTTTGAGAGGTTATTTTCTCCCTAGGCATTTGCTTCAGTGGCCATTTTTTTCTGCGTGGAAAATGCCATAATGGCTGTTCCACCACTTTCTGTGCCAGCTGTCTTGGTATTGGGTTTTTCTGTAAGTTCAGAGCTGCAGGGTTTTTATAATGCATTAATTCCTTTTCCAAAAGCTATATAAAGGAGCCCCAAAACTATTGGTATAGAATGAAAAGATGTTTACAGTTTCTTTGAAACTGGGCCCTCTGAGAATAACCTGTCGGTCTCTGGGAGCTAGAATTTGCCTGACCAAATGATGTGAGTGGAAGACTTCTTTTTTATTTAGGTTAAATCTGAAACCATAGGCCATTACTACTGAAAACCAAACAAAGGGCAGCATATTAACTGAATAGATTTAATCTTTAAACTTTTTAATAGTATATATCCACTGTTCAGTTTCCTGGTTTTTTGTTTTTTGTTTTTTCTTTTCTTTTATGAGGTACATTCCTTTATAACTAGTTTTTAAACCATAGTAATACTTTCTCCTGGGGGGGGGTGGGAGGGGAGTTCCAGTAAGGCTTTACAGAAGATAATCTTAGAAATCCTCTGCTTCAAAGGCTTTTGTAATAATTAGATCCCTTTTTGAAAATGAAGATGAATTTGACTTGTCCCAGTGGAACAGTAGAACTGCTGTTGTGTGAGTAGATGATATAATGTAATGCAAGTGATGGGGATTATCTGACTTCAGTGGTCTTTTAGGTTTCGCTTCTATTTTCTCTGTTCATTTGTGTTCTTTCAAACACAGTAAATTTATGATTTTACAGCCACAGTGGTATTCTGTTTTTTCTAAACTTTGAGATATATTGTTATTTAATTACATTAATAATTCTTTTCTATGTAAAGTTAGCTTTTTCAGGATGATTTAAGTAGTTTTTGGTTTTGCACCCCTAAAAATGGCTTGTGTCTATTTCTACTAGAAAGTGACTAGTAGAAATATAAAGTGACTTTTTCTACTGCTTGGAGGATTCTAGTGAAAGAGATGTATGCACACAAACTTTAAATTTATTGAAAGCAAAGTCATTATACCAGGATTTCAAGTTGTAGTGTGGGGAAAATTTGGTCAGTGCCTTATCAATTTGAAGACCAATTTTAGGGACTCAAGTAGGACAATAATCATTTGCCCTCTTACTCCTTATATTTCAGGAGTGTGTGCTATGTCTCTCCACCACCTCACTCTTTCTCACAGGAAGTCTTAAGTTAAACCTGCAGACAGTGGTTGCAGTCCTCACTGGTTTTGAGTGTTTTTAGACAAGCTCCCTCCTGTACCACCCCTTCCAGGGTTGGAGATTAAAAATAAACCCACCCAAATCAACCTTTAGATGAACACTCTCAGGAACAACCTTCAAGAGCTCAATGAGTCATTTTTATTTTGTTTTAAGCACAGGATTTAATTATAAAGCCTGATAGAAAAACCCCTAAAAGAGTTTGATGCAGTGAGAAAGTTTTGTTTGGGTTTTATTTAAGCTACTGGAATCTTGGAAAGACAGTCCCTTTGGCCAGAAATGAGATTAGTTCAGTTTACTGATTTAAATAAGACTCAGGGTAAACAAGCAGTCACTTAACATACCAGTTATTGTTTCCTTGGAAATATTATGGCAGAAAAGTCAAAACACCAATATATAAATTAAAAAGAAAAGCCTAAACTAGCTTTCTCAGCAAAAGCAAGCCTGAAATATTCTGCCTCTGGAGCTGCTTTATTTACGGAGTGAAGATGATATATCCCATTTTTTTAAGGGCTAATATTTCCATAGTAGGCAATTCTTTAAATCCAAATGAAGGGTTAACTGGTCCTTGAGGTTATTACCTGAACTCAAATTTTGGATCTAGTTATTTGGTCTGCAAAGTGATAATGGGATTAAAGGAATACCTAGTTAAAGTACTTTGAGAGTGAGCTTTTTTGTTTTGACCCATATGCAGAAAATTTAATGAATATTAGCTTTGCTTCAGATACCAGGCAACACATACTAAGTTCCCCCAAAGATAACATCTGTCAGAATCCCTCACAAATGCAATCTAGTAGTCACTGACTGACTGGGCATGACAGAGTAAATGAGTCACCAGGCTCGAGAGTCTGTAAACCTTGACTATTGATAAAAATCATTATTTTATAGCCGACCAAAGTGGTAGGGGTGGGGCTTAGGAGTGGCAAACTGGTTCATAATGTAGTCTAAAAGAGAGAAGCATCTGGGTGGGCAGGGGGGTAAACATCACAATGATGAAAATAAAACTGAAAACACAAGCCATTTTTATTCTGCTTTATCCCAGTTAACTTGAGATACTCTGGTAGTGAACACTCGGTTGCACTATGACCTCCTGGAGTGATGTGCAGCTTGGTCCCCCTCTCACCTTTTATTTCTGTTTAATATACAAATGTGAGTGTGAGATCTTCAGTGTGTTTGCATAAGCTAACTTAAAATGAATTTAAGTTTTCTGAAATATTTCTATGGAAATAAATTACTTAAAAATATAGGTTGTGTGAGGATAATTTGTTAGCTTATTTATGTTTTTATTGTTAACTTTTAATATGTACTTTCTCGTTAACTTTTAAGTAAACTCTCTTAACTTCATTTTTTCCTCTTTCCAAAATAGTTGACACAGTTATTTCTTGGCTCCGGGAGGCTTCTCAGCTGCTCCTCTCTATCCCACATCCAGGAAGGCTGTGCCCTGGCATGTGGACAGATGATGGGATCTTGGGGAAAGGACAGACAAGGGTATATTTCCAATTCCATCTCCAACTCCAAGTATGTGACCTCATATACGCAGTCCCCAAAGAGGCTGCTTTTGCTAGTCATGCATTTCGTAGATACTAAGACATGGCATTTTTCACTGCTTACATTTCTGAAAACAGAACTCACCTGCGGGCCTGTGGAGCCCTAAATTGGAAGAAATACAGAAGGAGCTGTGTTGGTGGTCCTACAAGTCTAGTGAGGTGTGGTTTATGCCCTAAGAATTCCAAATGAGTTTGCTGCCTGTGAGGCTCCTTGGCACCCCCTACAGGACTGAACACCCAGTGTTTTGGCACACTAATTTATTTTTTAACAATTTTGTCACATCTTCAGTGTCCTTGCATTGAAGGAAAAAAAAGACTTCTCTGGTGGAGTCAACCTGTCTTCACCGCACACAGTGACACCTCTGTCTTACATCAGTTTTCCATGTGTGCATGATAAGTGTCTGGGATTCTTTTCTGTCTCAGCTATTTGTCCCAGAGCCAGTACCATGTGGTCTTCATTACTACATAGCTGTCTAATCTTGATCTCTGTTGAGGTAATTGCATTGTTCTTCAGATTTGCCTTAGCTATTCTTGATACTTTTTCTTTCCTCTGAATTCTAGGGTCAGTGTGTCAGTTCCATGAAAGTACTGTTACTACTTACATCAGAATGGCTTGGGTTCATAGATTAAGAATTATCATATTTTGAAAGTTTAGTTCTCTTACCTATGAAATGTGTCTCCATTTAGTTAGGGCTTATCATATGGTCTGATAATGTTTTACAATGTTTCTCTTTCTGCTGGTCTCAGACATCTATTTATTCTTGGGTTAACTAGTTTTCATTTCTACTAGAGTGTGACCTTTTTTTCTGTTGTGTTTCCTCCTTGGTTACTACTTGTGTGTAGGATGCTATTGGGTATTGTTGACCCTTACATCCAGTAACTTTCTGCTCCCTCATCAGTTCTAGTGATTTGTCCAGTGTGATTTTATTAGGAGATGTTTAGCTGCAACTAAGGTAGGTAAACTGATAGAACGTATTTGGAATTTATGAACATACTAGTGTTAAGAATATACCAGAATTGTTAAAATAACTAGGAAAATATATTCAATAGAAAAACGTGCTTAAAGACATAAGACTATTTATAGAAATTGGATTCAGATCCAACCCTGTTATATACCAATTACATGACCTTGAGCAAGTGACTTAACCTTGTTTCTCTATTTCCATGTATAAAATGTGCACAGAACCCAAGCTGCAGAGATGTAAAACTAAACTTCGCTCCCGTATCTCACACCTCTAGAGCAGAACTAGCACGTAGATCCTAGAGCAGAACTAGCACGTAGATCCGTGCCATCAGTACTGGGGAGTTAAGAGTCATTATTGACACTTTGTAGCCTACCATTTCTACATTTGGAGTTAGGGAAGGGAAGGGAATGAGAAATTAAAGGGAAATTTTAAAGAGAATAAGAAAAGGGTCTTTGTAGTTAGCTATTAAGTCATAGTGAACTGAAACATTTTCCTATAAGCCAAATAAAGAAATAAGCCTGGTAAAATAATAGACAAATGCAAGTAGAGGAAAACATGAAGGAAAAACACCTGTAAAAGAAACCCATTTATTGTTGAAACCATTATCCACCTGGGTCAGAGTCTCTTGGGGTGCTTGTTTAAATCTGTGACTTTTGAACACTACCCCCTGATTGGCCATATCAGAGTCTGGTGCCCAATAAAATTTGAATTTAATTTGAGCTGATTTATCCATAGCCCGAGCTCAGTTAAAAGTAAGAGTTGCTGAATTTGCTTTACTATATCCATACAGTTCAGTTCCACAACTGTTAGCATCTCAATTAAGCTGTTTTCTTACCAAAAGCTATTCTGAAGTTTCATAGTAAAAACAGGACCCCATTCTGTTAGGTGTAGAAGAAAGCCCATGAATACTTACATCTGAGCAAGTCACAATAGGTAGGTACAAGCAGTGACAGGACTTCATCACCTCAATCATACTTCAGTAGCCACACCTATACTGGGTTAGAAATTCTCCTTTGAAAGATAAATGCACTTCTGAGTGTGATTATATTTCCCTGAATCTTTGGAGGAGTCTACCTTTTAAAAAGTCCAGAGAATGGCCTAAGGCAATTTGAATAGAGAACTTTGGTTCCTGCCTAACATGGTTTTATGGTTCAGTCCAAATCAAGATAACTTACTGCACTTGGATAACCACTTTATGTGTCCCTTCGAGCTGTCTCTTACGACTCAGGCTTATTTTATTCCCTCTTACCTGAATCACAGAAAAGGATAGTTAAGTGTACATCAAATTACAGGTGTCTTGTAAGTTAGTGAACTGTGTTTTTAAGCAATACTTTTTCAAAGAATACTAACAGCAATTTAGAAACCATCAATATGTTTGTTCCCAAAGGTGATAATGTACTTTCCAGTTTAATATAAATTATGAGAGTGGGATGTCTTGAATAGTGTCAACCCAAATCATCTCTTCCCTTCTATTTTTATAGTTTGATCGCTGACATTATCCTTTTTTGAGGTCAGTGTGTCTCTAATTTTTGGTTTTTTTCTCAATCCTTCATTTACAATATAATTGTCTCCATATTTATTTAAATCAGTGGTTCTCAACCTTGGTTACAACTGAGAATAATCCAGGGAACTTTGAAAAATCCAAACACCCAAGCTGCACACAAGAACAACAATATAAGGAGGTAGAGGGGTATCAGGCATTGTTTTTTGTTTGTTTTGTTTTTGTTTTAAGCTCCTCAGGTGACATAAATGTGTGCCTAAGGTTGAAAACCAATGTTTAGATTGTTGGTCTCTAAATCAACAATTACACAGACTTAAGTTTAGGATAGAGGCTTCGACTACAGAATGGCAGCCACTTCCTCTGAATGGCATGTTAAATGATTACTGTATTCCACCCCCAGAGGTTCTGATTCAGCAGGTCTGGGGTAGGGCCTAAGCTACCTTTCTTGAACTAAGAGTTGGTAGTTGGGGCATTGAGAAAATAAAGTAGACCTTTAGTCAGATGAACAAGGAAGAAAACTAATAGAATTAAAAATAAAAAGGGAAATTAGATTTGATAATGTACCAGAAAATTGGGAACATGTTCAAATAATAGAGTCTTCCAAAACTGAACCAAGAAGAAACAGAAAATGTGAGTACACCAATCACACTGTAGAGATCCAAAAGACATCATACTAAATAGGAAAAGATATTCACACATAACATCACCTACTAAGTTAATGTTCCAGGTACACAAAGAACTTACCCAACTGAACAAAACTTTAAAAAATGGATAGCCAAGCTGAACAAGAGAATTCACAGAAAGCCAATATATTTTTTAAAAAATGCTCAATACTTTTTTTTTTTAAGATTTATTTATGCTTATAGAACTGGGGTACAGGCCAGAGGGGTGGTGGGTGAGAGGATTCACCAGAGACAGAGTGGGGAGCAGAACAGGCAGATTGACAAAGTAAACTGCTGAGGGGAGCAGCAGGCAGGTCAGAAAGAGTTCACAACCACAACGAGATGTCACCCCATGTCTGAGAATGGCATACGCAAAAAAAAGACTTCCAACAAGTGCTGGAGAGGATGTGGAGAAAGAACCCTGCCTGATAGTTTGGTGGGAAAGTAAATCAGTGCAGTCTCGATTTCCAAATGGAAATACCATATGATCCAGGAAATCCCAACACATGAGTAACACTAGGAAACAAAGCCCATGCCCTGAGGTGACCACATGGTGCGGCAGACCTCTCCTGGCCCGCCTGCTGCTCCCCTCAGCAGTGTACTTCATCGATCTGCCTGTTCTGCTCCCCTACTCTGTCTCTGGTGAATCCTCTCACCCTCCGCATCTCTGGCCTGTACCCCAGTTCTGTATGAATAAATAAATAAAATCTTCAAAAAAAATTAATCATTTGAGAACCAGACATCATGAAGGCCAAAAGAGAGGGCCAAGTTGAAAAACAAATTCACAATTCTAATACACTCCCAGGTGATGCCAATGCTGCTGGTTTAAGGGCCACACTGAGAAGTCCCCTGGAGATGGAGAGGGACCCCTGGAGGATCCATCCTCAACACACCTTTTGCGTCGAGTGTGCAGCTTTGACCCTGTGAGTGTAATGGGGAGCATGATCACACATGCTGGTGATGGGAGGCCCCAGAAATAAAAAGCATCACCCCAAGTCAAGGAAGTGTGGATCTTACAGAGGCCAACCTCATGCTAGGCAGCAGTGTGGTCCCAGAAAGTCTGGAATGATGGGGAGGCTTGGCTGGGGAACCGCTTTTGGTTGATCTCAGGTAGGTCACTCCTGTGTCCTGCAGCTCAATGCAGACTTTAGCAACTGGAATTAAGACTATATTTCTGCTGCTTGCAAACAATGCTTTCACTCATGAAACACCTATGATCCACCCATAACTTCCCTGCCTCTTACAGCAAAGTATATTTTGAAACAACAGGAAAAATTTTGTTTTCCATTTTTTTGTTTTGCATTTGAATGCGTCAAGGAGGGCTGTGTCAGCAGGTCACTGCTGCCCCACCATTCCCTATAGTCTTCATCAATCTTCACTCCTTCTTACCTATGCAAGTGTTAGAAAGGGATCCCTGAAACTGAGGCTCCCTGTGACTGAGTGGGATGCTGGTCTGAAGGCATACCTGTCCTTAAAGAGCAGAGGGAAGGATGGAAAGAACCGAGGTCCTCAATGACTTCATTACCCTGCAGAATTAACTCAACACTAGAGGAGCCTTACTTC